CCCCACCCCCGGTCCTTGCAAAAATTTTCTGCTTGAAACCGGTCCCTGGTACAAAAAAGGTTGGGGACCACTGATTTACCTTATAAGTGGTAATAATATTAATAAAAAAAAAGTTCTGAGCTACCCTTATTTTGCTTCAAAGTTTTTATTTAGAAATTTAATTTTTTTTCCTGAAATTTCCCTCTTAAAATGAAGATGCGTGTTATACGCCTGTGCGTGTTATACGCCGATAAATACGGTATATTTTGTATGAAAATGTGCAATGCTATAAATACACAGGAAAACAATTTCTTCAAATAAATAAAAACTTATGTTGGATCTATAAGATATGTAGAGCTGAATCCTCGTGTTTTCCAGCATTTTTGTATATCTTTCCTGCTTTTATGGTTAATCCACTGTTGCTATCCTGAGCATATCATAAGGCACATTGTTACTGCTGAAACTTCTCATCTTCATCCTATTCCACCCATCCACCCACCCATTCCAGGATTGAATATGACAGTAGACAGTTCCAATAAAAGATGGGGTAACTTTGATTTAAAGAAGTTTGCTTGCCATGTTGCATTAAGACTAAGGGATGAAGCAATGTATTAGGACTTCATCATATTAGAGTTTAATGAAAAATTTCTTTGCACAAAAGAATACTAAATCATAAACATGGTATTAAAGAGTATGGTATTTTTTATTAAAAAAAATAACGAATTTGACAAAAGAGATTTTCTATTGAGCATCAGAGTTTGGATAGATCTTAAAGCTACTATACTGTATATAGTTACCAACATTTCAATTGTTCATGAGCCCTTTGCCGGATAAGAATTACAGCATATGCAGACACACTTGAGATATATCCAAAAATTGCAAAAGATAGAGAGTACACCAACTAGACTGCTACCATAAATAAAATGTTTTGCTAATTGCTTATTAATATTAGTATTGATTAGTATTGAGATCGGTGGTGCATTTTTCAGTGGGAGGAACGAGCGGGTAAACAGCTCAAAGATTTACTGTGGACCCGAGTCAGAAACAAATTAAAAAGCAAAGACTCCAGAGCGGAAGGGGTGAGTGTGGAGATTAAGCAGCAACAGCTTAATTTATGTTTTTACCCTCTAACTCTGGAAGTTAAATGGCAGCTTGAGAAAAGAGTGATTAAAGGAGGAAAAAAAGGGGGACTAGACAAGAAGAGGTGTGAAGAAGGTTTTATTCAGGAAAACTGCCTTTTGAAACTGAGATTGGTTGTGAATTCCAATGATGGAAGAACTGGAATGATGTCTACAGTCTCCATTTAAATCAAATCACCAAAAATAATTCTAAACGGCCACCAATTGGAGAGAACAAAGGAGACTCACGGAGAATTGATAGTCTCCATATAAACCACCCAGCTCCATTTAAACAACCCAGCTGATTAGTCAGCCTGAATTTAAATTCCCACTCAGCTGATTGGACAACCTCCACTAAACCCCCACCCAAATCTCATCCTTTCCAAACTCCAAAGCAGATGATTGGTGAGCTCATTCAAAACTTCTCCATTCAAATCTATCAAACAGCAACACTTCCTCTTTAAAACAAAAACAAAACAAACCAAAAACCAAAAAACGTGGCTTTAAGGAAAAAGAAAGGAACTTTACACAACAAACCTCCAATACTTTACTATCTCCACTATTTCAGTACCTCAAGTCCAAATATTTATAGATAATGCTTTGTCTATAATAATTGATTTATCATATAATAGTATAATTAATTGTTAAATGACCACTAATTTACTGATTCATTGAATTGATAAAGATTTAATACTGTAACATTGATTATCTAGTCGATTGATTGATTCTTAGTAATAAGTTGATTGATTGATTTTTAGTAATAAGTAACCTTACTTTTGATTTGTTATCTAACTTATCAATTAACATTTATTAATTACCAACATTCATTAAGTAACTGTCTACCTAACACATTAATTAGCTATTGTAATTGTTTAGTGTACTATTGTCATTGACCATGCCAGCCAGAAACTCCAGAAACTCCAAATCCTCCACTACCAAACAACAACAACAAAATAATATCTCTACCAATGACCTCCCAGACTCCTGTACAAGTTTCAGATGTCTTAAAACCATCAATGAAAGCAAAAATAATATCAAATGCTACCTATGTTATAATCAAGCCCACCTTGCCTGCTTAAACTTAAACAAAGACCTAGCTGATCTCCTAAAAGCATCAGATACTTTCCCGTGTCTATGTCCATCATGTTTTCCTAAGCTAAACAAACCAAGTACCCTGCGTGACAGAGTTGATAGCATAGAATCACTCATGCACTCAATAGAAAAACGCTTAGCAACACGTTTTGAAACTATTATACAAGAAAGCCTAATTTCTCTTGAAAAAAAAATACAGCACTGATAAGTGACTACCTATCAGCTCAAAATTAAATCCCAACCTAACAACCACTACTACAATTACTACCTCAACTACAATCACAACTACAGACAAAAATAAACACCAAACCACAACCACAAATAATTACTATCCCATCAAATAATTCCACAAATGATATCTCCTTACTCATCAGAGACACCATGGAATGTGAACAGAAATGTCCAAATGCCATCTTATTTGGTCTTGAAGACACCAACGAATCAGATGACATCACCAAAGTTTGTAATATCATAAGCAACTCAAATACAACAAACATCTCTCCTGCAGATATCACTGAAATAACCATACATGGCCCTGGGTACAAATACAATGACAGCTCTGTGGCCCCAAAATTTTGTAGAATTGTTTTCAAAAACGAGTCCAGCAAACGCATATTCATTCCTACAATAAACACCATTGCAAAAATCAATCCCAACCAGAAAAAACTTCGCTCAAGACCAGACTTATCCATACTGCAAAGAATCCGCTCCCATGAACTCTGCAATGAACTCAAAAGACGTCTAGACAATGGAGAGAAGGATCTCTACATTGACTACCACGCAGATTGTATCAAAAGTCACACAACCCACAACTCCACATCCAACCCTACCTCATCCGAACCCACCATTACTCAAAACTAGGCACGCACGCCCCTAACTACCTCAATTCCAACTACAACTGGCCTTAAATGCAAGCTACTCAATGCAAGAAGCCTTGTGAATAAAATACTTGAATTTCTCCTCTTACTAAATATGGCTAAATTCGACATCATATTTGTCTGTGAAACATGGCTCTATGCATCTCTCCCTGACTCCATTACCACAGTAAGAGACTGTCATGTTTCCCGATCAGATCGTGAAATCCGTAGAAGAGGTGGTGTTGCTATCTTCTATAAAAAGTCCTTACATCTAAAAAACATCCAAGTTAACCCAAGAGCTTGCTATTCCTAAGACCATCGTCTGTGAACTGTCCTTAAATATCACATTTCGATTCTTACTATGTTACAGAGCCCCTGGTTATGACATCGAACATGTAAACCAGCTAAATTCACTACTAAAATGGGCAACATCCTGCCCACACACTTTTATCTTTCTTGGTGACTTCAATCTACCTCATATTAACTGGACCCTAAAGGAATGTAAAACTGAACTCATACATGCAACCTTCTACAATGCTATTAACAAACTTGGGACTGGAACAACTAGTAACCAACAATACTAGACTTAACAACTGCCTCGATCTCATCTTCTGCAATAGTTTGAATTCAATTTATGGAATACAATTAAAGAACCCTTTTCCAACAGTGACCACAACATGATTGACTTTTGTCTCAACCTACGTCCACACAAAAATCAACACAACAATGTGATCCCCAATTATAACTTCAAAAAAGGCAACTATGATCTTATAGACAACAATCTCTCATCCCTTGATTGGCAATTTTTATTCACTGGATGCAATACTGTTGAAGACCATTACAACATATTTTTACTTGAAGTCAAAAGAGTCATCAAACTATATGTACCAATAACAACTACAAAACCCAGAAAAAAAACAGATTACCCATAACAATAAGGAAGCTTCAATCCAAAAAGAGATCACTTTGGCAGAAAAACAAATCTGGTCATGTTGCCAACTTCAAAAGCCAATACAAAAATTTATGCCACCAGATAAAAACTGAATGCACCAATTATCACATTAAACAAGAAGAAAACCTTCTATGCACCAATTCCACCTGCGCTTTCTACAATTTTGTAAACAACAAACTAAAAGACTCAAGGTCCATCCCACCCCTGAAAGGACCTAATGGTAAAGACTGCAATGATGACACCATTAAAGCCAACATCTTCAACACATTCTTTGGCTCAGTATTTGTAAACAGCAATGAATCACGCCCAGTATTTCCTAGTCGAACAACAGACAACTATAATGATCTAATACATATCAATTTTACAGAAGACAATGTTGAAAAAGCACTACGCAATCTAAAACCATCTCTATCTATTGGACCGGACGGAATATGTGCCTACTTCTTAGAAAAGCTATCCACTGCCACAGCAGAACCTCTAAGCATAATCTTCGAAAAATCTTTCAGGACCAGCTCCTTGCCAAAACTATGGTCACAAGCCATAGTCATCCCCATCTTCAAAAAGGGAGACCCCTAGTTGAAAATTACAGACCAATCTCTTTATGCTGCGTCACCTGTAAAGTCATGGAATCAATTATTAACCAATCCATTATCCTCTACTTAGAAACAAACAACGTACTCTCTAATAAACAATTTGGTTTCAGAAAAAAACTATCCTACAATCTGCAACTCACACTGCAAAAACATATGGACTACACAACTCAATCAGGGCAAAGCAATAGACGCAATCTACATAGACTTCTGTAAAGCCTTTGATTCAGTGGTACAGGACAAACTACTACTAAAACTAAAATCTTATGGTATCTCTGGACACCTGCATAACTGGATAGAAGCATTCCTGTCAAACAGACAACAAATGGTCAAAATTGGGAATGTCTTATCAAATTCTGTACCTATCAACAGTGGTGTCCCCCAAGGCAGTATTTTAGGACCAACTCTCTTCATACTCTACATAAATGACCTCTATGATCATATTAAGAGCAAATGCGTTCTCTTCGCTGACGATGTAAAGCTATTCAACACCACAGACAATACTGCTACCCTTCAAAAAGACCTCGACTATGTATCAGAATGGTCAAACAAATGGCAACTTCAAATCTCAACAAATAAATGCTCTGTCTTACATATCGGCAAAAAAAAATCAGAAAATAAAATACAGGCTGAATAGTCAAGACCTTGTTGATGATCCAAACTCTGTCAAGGATCTTGGAGTACTCATCTCTAATGATCTAAGTGCTAGAGCCCACTGTAACTACATAGCCAAAAAGGCATTAAGAGTTGTTAACCTAATCTTACGTAGCTTTTTCTCTGGTAATATTACACTACTAACCAGAGCATACAAAACATTTGCTAGACCAATACTCGAATACAGCTCATCAGTCTGGAACCCACATTATGTATCTGATATTAACACAGTTGAGAAAGTCCAGAAATATTTCACAAGAAGAGTTCTCCACTCCTCTACTCGTTGCAGAATATCTTATGCCACCAGACTTGAAATTCTAGACCTAGAAAACCTAGAACTATGCCGCCTTCGGTCCAATCTAAGTATAGTATATAAAATCATACACTGCAATGTCCTACCTGTCAAGGAATACTTCAGCTTCAACCATAACAACACAAGAGCAAACAATAGATAGAAACTCAAAGTTAAATCGCACCAAACTTGATTGCAGGAAATATGACTTCAGCAACAGAGTGGTCAATGTCTGGAATACTCTACCTGACTCTGTGGTTTCTTCCTCAAACCCCAAAAACTTTAACCTTAAACTTTCTACTATTGACCTCACCCCTTTCCTAAGAGGTCTGTAGGGGGCGTGCATAAGAGCACCAACGTGCCTACCGTCCTTTTCCTATTGTTTCTTTTATTTTTCTTATATTTATCCATGTATTCATAACTATGTTTTTACTTATACCTATTATCTTGTAAGCAATTGACAAACCAAATAAAAAATCTTTAAACGCTTAAAATGCTGTGGATCTGACAGCAAATACACTCTCTTTTGAATATCAATGCCCCCTATTGGGAAGAGCAATGAGGTAGCTGTGTATTTGTAAAATTTGTAACAGATTTTTACCAGGCTCAATTTTAATATCAAATGGTACATTTAATAATAAAGGTATTAAAATTCAAATATCACCTTTCTTGGGTATTTTTACTTTATATTTTGTTAGAATAGAAAGAGTGGGTAGAAAACTCTAGTAACTACTGAATTGTATATATGATATTACATCAAATACTATTCTGAAAAAAAGTATGTAGTACTTCTCCACCTTGGCAAGTTTAAGAGGTGTGAACTTCAATTTCCAGAATTCCCCAGCCAATCCACAACTCTTAAACTTGCCAAGATTGAAAAACACTGAGATATCCTTTGAGATGACTTGGAAAAATTATCCAGAAGCTGAAGAGACCAACAAGCACAGAATATTTTCCCACATCCCCCAGGAGGAGGGAAAATATTAGAAAGAGACTGATTCCCCCTTGAATCTCTGGGGTATAAGAAGGGAGAAAGGAAAATTTCATAGGAACTCTTGCAAATTTCTGTTATTATAGTCTATCTCAATAAAGTATAGTTCTAGGCTTCCTCTGGAATTTGTTTCCTAGCATAATCTATCTTGTAGCCCTGACACATTTCGAGACAGAAAAACTATTTATGAATATGAAAACACACATGTATATATATCTTAGATTTTTAGAAAGTGTGTCCTTACCTCTTTAAGCTAAGGATGCTTGTAAATGTAGTATCACCATATACTGACAGCATGTAAATTTCATCCATTATTATATGTAACTCATACCTATATACAGAAAAATATATAAGAATTCCTTAAAGTCTTCAAGCATTCATTTTGATTCATGTTCATTACTTCATTCAGTAATTCTTAACATATTACCTGTAAGTCTAGTATTAAAAATATATTTAAAAACACTCAAGCAACCTTAGAAAGTCTTACATTACATAATGAAAGCTACAACATATATAACAAACTGATCTACTCTAACCACTAAATTTAAAAAAAAAACACAGAGAGATGGAAGGTAGCATTATAGGCTTTAAACTTACAGCTTGTAGAACCATTATTCCATTAAATATTTCCTTTAAAAATCATTCATTTGTTGCTTGATGTAGTCTGCAGCACAATGCCTGGCTATTTTTGATGGCTTTAAAATATTATCACTGTCTTTATTATCTCGTTTTTGTAGTTATGGTCTCTGTTTCCTCCTCTTTTTTTGGTCTCTCTGACTATAAATCAATAAAGTTTCATTGGAAGCAACACTAAAAATTGTGGACATATTTAAAGGTATAGTGTATAAATAAAATGAACTATAAGAATGCATCCAAAGATAATTAATTATTTGGATATACTGCAATAAAATGAGGCAACTGGAAACTTATTTTTGTTTTTGTTTTAAACAAAACACCCTTCTTTGAGAAAGATATAGATATATTTACTCATATACCATATAGCTTTCTATATACTGGTTTTAAAATATTTCGAAATCTCTAATTTTAAAATGAGAAGCTTTTCTCAATCCATAAATTGCTATCAAAATAATTCTGAAATCAAGAGTTTAATATATTATATACTATTACTATTGATTTTGGCAATGACCATTATTTAATCTCTGGCATATATATGTATACATGCTTACATACATCAGGCATTTTAGTTTTAACAAGAGTAACCTTGCCTTAGAAATGCATAAGTTAATAATCACTATTATGTTTTCATAAATTAGTTATTGAAGAATTCTTAGTTTTTTTTTACAAAACTTAGAAGATAAATTATTGACCCAATATACTTCCTAAGTAGGTCAGATAACCATATTTAGCACTTGCCAAATGAAAGGAAATTGCCAAAATCATTTTCATAACTGAAATAATGCATTATGGAAAATTAAAGCCCAAATAAATAGCGCTAGGATGCAAACCTGTGCGCAAACTCTAGACATTCTGTCAGTAACTGTGCTGGGTAAATGCCCCCTAATGGATTGTGAGGGTTGATCAGGATTAATGCTCTGACTCGGATGCCCTGAAAAAAGAAAAACTGATAGTCGGAGACGCCAACATGACGTCAAGCATACTTGCAGATGGAGTCTGCAACACTGCCATCCTTTATTTAAAATATCACTCACGTATGGAAAATAATAGACTGCTTACATGCATATGTATTCCTGCAACAGCAATCTTTGCAATTCAAGAAAATGATCTAAAATTGCAGCATTTTTCTCTTATTATTTTTCATCGTCAATGGCTAAAAAGGTAAATTTCAGGAAGTCCAAGAACAGATATTTTATATCAGTTAAACAGGCACTTCAACCATATTGCATTCACCTAGCTATAACCAACAAGAACATTTGGATTTTTAATTGATTCTAGATTAAAAATGATGAATAAAATAACTGAAAATAAGAACCAAAAACTTTCTGTATAAATTACAATGCATTTTTTTCAAAAAATGCCCATAATTTTAGTAATCAAAAAAAGGAAAATACATAATATTCCACAAAAATATAGAATTGGCTACTGAAATTGTTAGTTACTTTATTGTTAGTAAGAATTCTACTGGATTTTAAAAGATTGTGTGAAGTGTTCACACTTTGAATTGGCTACTGAATTGGCTTTGCAATTCTGATACAGAAATATGCTGTTCCAGACAACGACTCATATTACCTCACCAGGAAGCGAACATAAGTGACCTACAATAATTAAAACCAATAAAAATTAAAATAACGTTAAATTAGTTTGAAATTGAAAAAGATGGGGCCTTATCTAGTCCATTAATCCAGAATGACATACCACTTTGGAGCCCCAAGCCAAGTTCTTCAGCACTTCAGAAGGCAAAAGAGTAGTTTCATGAGGAGAGGGAGCTCTATGAAGGACAGGAGCCATAGCAGAAAAAGTTCTCCTGGATTCCAGCCAGTTGGAATTCCTTGACTGATATGTCTGCTGCATGCCCCTTCTGCCAGCATGGCTGGGGCAGGCTAATCCCTTTGGGGTGAGACAGCCTGGAGCTATGCAATGAAATGCTTTAAAGGTGATAACCAACACCTTAAATTGAACCTAAAAGCAATCTGGCAACCATGGGCCGCCCTAAGGACCCAAGAACTGCTATGCAGCTGCATTCTGCACCAGATGTAGCTTCCAAATACTCTTCAAGGATAGCCCTTCCCCAAGAGTGTGTTGCAATAGCCCAAGAATGAGATTATTAGACTTGAGTGACTGACTGCAGGGACTCCCGATCTAGGAAGGAGCTCAACAAAATTGTGCAAAGGCTCTCCTAGCCATGACTGCCACCTTCTCTCACTCCAAAAGATCCCCAAATTTCACACTGGGTCTGTCTGTGGTGATGCAAACCCATCCAGAGATGTTAGTTTCAGCTCCTGAAGCTTCACCCACCCAAAGCCACAGGATCTTCCCAGGGTTCAAAGCCTGTCGTCCCCCCATCCAGACCCTCAGGCACCGTTAGAGGGTAGTGCATTTGAGTCACTGAGGATGGAGATGTAAAGTTGAGTATTACCAGAATTCTGATGACACCTCATTCCATGGTGATCTCACCCAGTGATTCATGTATACAGATTAAAATGGGGTGGAGAGTGCACTGTGGTGAGCAAACCATAAAGGAAAGGCTCACTCCCTATCAGCAGTGATTAGGACCTGCCTTGGAGAAAGGAGCCAAATTATCACAAGACTGCATTGCTCAGTCCCAAAAGGATACCATGGTCAACAGTATTGAAGGCCGCTGAAAGGTCAAGGATGGATGCACTATTCCCATCCTGCTCCTGCTACACTTTCATCCAAAGTGTGACCAATACTTCTTCTGTCTCGTAATCTGTCTTAAATCCTGACTGGAAGGGGGTCAAGATAATCTGTTTCATCCAGGACCCTCTGAAGCTGCCAAGCCCTCACACCTTTTCTACTATCTTTTCTAGAAAGGGAAGGTGGAAATTGGACAAAACTTGTCCAGACAGGTGAGATCAAGAGACAGTTTTCTGAGCAGGGGGGCAAACCAGGGCCTTCTTGAAAGGTCCTAGAAACGTCCCCTCCTCCTGCAGTGAAGAATCTGCTTGAATCACCAGGCAGTCACCAAGTTCTAAAGGTTTTCACCAAGCAGGAGGGACAGGGATTTGAGATGTCACTGCACTGACAGCATCAAGGGCCCTGTTCATTCCCCAGGTCCAATAGGATCAAACCATCCCCAAATATAACCAGGTAGGACCTTTCTCCAGGCATCTCTAATAGAACTGGTATTATTGGTTCCAAGTAAGAACCACTTTGTCCATCAGGTATTAAAAAAATTCCCTCATGGCCTGGAGATGATCACCTGAGTCCTCTTGTCTGAGGAAGGACCAGGTAATCTTGAATACGGCCGCCAGGCGACACTGTATGGATGCAGTGAGGATGGAGGAAATAATGGTTTATGCTATTTATGCAGTGGTAGGCCTTAATAATTAAGGTAAGCCTTAATAACAGCTCTAAGTTGTATCTGGTCAGATTCATCCCTTGTTTTCCTCCAGTGGTGTTCCAGGTTTCCTTCAGCCCTTTTCAGAAGCCAGAGCTCCTCCATGAACTATGACGAGTCAAGAGAGGTGCACAGGCATCATTGCTAAACTTCTTATTAATACCTTATCTAAGAATGTAGGAAGGGTAATGAAAAATTTCTCAATCAATTCCCCACTTTTCAACACATTTGCTTCTCTTGTATTTTAGTAGGTTATATTTTACCAGAAAGGTTAAAATCCATTACAAATAATATTCATCTACAATTATCAGTAGAATATGAAGTTCAAACAAAAATATTCCTACCTTTTCCCTGGCTCCCTGGTATGCAGCTTCTAATTTTTCAACTGTTAATTGAAAAGGCTGGCTTCCTTTGTCAGCTACCTGAAATCCAAAAGCATAATGTTAGTAACTCAATAAGATATTGCAATTATTGCAATGAACAAACTTGAGGAAACGTCATTGTAGTCAATGATTTAGGCATAAAGAAGTATGCCAGTAGAACTTCCCTCTACCAAAAAGGATAAATATAATGACACACTTCTTTATATTTAATTAAAAAATACCTCACTGAATAACGGTACATGAACAGGTTGCATTCCACCATATAACCAAGTTTTGGAATTGATGCCACCATAATATGGAGTTGGAATTAGATATCCATCTATAAAAAAACATAAACAAAGAAAATCTTTTTCAGGAGACTTTTACTAATATATTATTTTGCTTAATTTTAATCATTGTGTTCCATAAATCGTAATGGTTTTTAAATAAATACTATTTATTAATATGCTATTTATTTGCCAACTAAACATTTTAGCAGTATTTTATCCTTTTTCATTGCTTAAAAAATTATGAATTAATGAGACTTTATTTGAATTACATTCAGGTATTTAAGAGTACACACCAGCAGTTTAATTTTAGCAGTGTTTTTGAAAATCACATAATGTTAACTATAAATATTACCTCTTGATCTCAGCCAATAGAAAACATGCTTTTAAAAAGACACTTCTGAAACTTATTACAGTAACATATACTGCGTGAAAACCACACACACGCACAAATATACCCATTGTCATCTTTCCGAGTAACGTATCCGCTAAAAGCAGAACTCCAAGGAAGATACACTCTTCAAAGAACACGTTTATTGAATACATTGTATTGGCACAGTTAGTGAAAAACGTCTCTAAAAGTTCCCACAATTTTTCCCTAATTGAAAGAGCAAATATTTCCCTCCTCAGATGTTACTGGTCACATTTTCCAAAGAAAGTAGCTGGCAGGGTGCTTGGTCCCTTCCCCCTCTCAGAGTTTGTGGCAACTATAAGGCAGCACAAGATGGCTTCAGCCAGGTTCGCTTCAGAGTTGACATACATACATACACACATTAAAGCTGTCTTACCTCCAGGATCACACAACACAGTTGAAAGAGTCGCAAAGACAGCGCAGCAGCCATTCATCACAATAATCTAGACAAATGCCAAGTTGCAATTAACAACATTGGTAATCATTTGAAATACTAAGGGACCAGTCTAAAAACAATCACATCATGGTTTTAGCTGGTATCTAATAATCCTTATGGCATTAAAATGTCTGGTAGATTATAATGTTATTTGAAATTATTAAGGACTATAGGTAGTCCTTGCTTACTGACCACAACTGGGACACGCAACTCCATTGCTAAGTGCAGTAGTGGCCAAGTGAAAAATCAAATGATGTGCCTATTTTATAGGGTCCCTTCCACATTCGTTATTAAATCACTAGTCATTAAGCAAGATATCACATGACCACAACTTGCAATTTCATTTTTGTGTTTTCTATAAATTTTGTTTGTTTGTGAACCTTGCAAATGGTGGTCATGAGATAGTATGTTATCTATAAATGCTGGTTGTGAAACACCCAGATGGTGATTATATGACTGCATAATGTTGTGACAATCATTAATATGAGGATTGGTTGCAAAGCTGGTTTTTTTTACCAACCATTATAACTTTGAACAGTCCAGGCCAGGGGTGTCAAACTCAATTTCATTGAGGGCCGCATCAGGGCTCTGGTTGACCTCAGGAAGCCACAGCCAACTGGGTGATTGTGGCCAGCTTGATGCCACTTCCCAAACTGCTGGCATGTTTCTTCTGTGACTGGGTAGACCAAGCCAAAGCTGTGCTGGCCTGATCTCTCTTCGCACTGGGTAGATTGGGCCAAAGTTACACTGGCCTGATCCTTCCTCTTCACACTAGGTAGACTGGACCGAAGCTACACAGGTCTGATCTTTCTTCGCACTGCATAGATCAGACTGATTTTTCCTCTTCGCATTGGGTAGACCAGGATGACCTCTTGGGCCAGATCCGACCACATCATGGGGCGGATCCATCCCATAGGGCTTAAGTTTGACACCTCTGGTCCAGGCAGTCAATAAGCAAGTACTACTTCTAAACTAGTATTTTCACATTGTGTGACAATTGATAGGCAGTCATAGAGAATGTTACACTAATTGGAAAATATGCTAAATAGGTAAGCTGACAGTACCAGAGTTAGGAATGAAGATAACTCTGATAGAAATAGAACATTTTCAGAAATGTTAAGAAACCTGAATAATATTTCCAAATTATAATTATAAATATATCTATGCTGGGACTGATTACCTGAAGAAGTTAGGAATCTAAAGCTTATCTAAACAATTTGATATTGGTTTGAGCACAAAAATATTGTGACATATCCCAGCATATTTTTCAAACCAATTTAAAAGTAATAAATTTAATCAACTTTGTTAAAAATTATATTTTAATTTCATCAAATGTTACCAACAATAAAGAAAGAAAATATCCTTTCATCTTACATGTTCTGGATCTAATGGTACTGAAGCATTTGCATATTCAGTAAGAAATTTGGCAATTTCTTCTCGGAAGCTAAAATTTAAAATTAATATATTTCCATAATTAACACATCAACCAAATAATTTGCCATAACATTTTCATATATTGTTATATGAAAAATCATACAGATAGCATTCAAAAAACATATGGCAGATTTTATCTCTTGAGCATAAATTTAATGTACTGATTTTTACTTCAGAAATCTTGATTTTAAATCTAGCAAAAAGCATTACTCAAACAGTAATTAAAGGATTACAGTATAAGAAACACAATTATATTTTAAAGTTGTTTTAGTTGATCATAGATACCACCAAGAATTTCTATGAGAAAGTATTCCATGTTTAGAAAGATATTATCCTATAAGTATCAACTAAGTCCTAAGAAAAATTTCTAAGATATTGGAACTCACATCAGCAAAAAGAGAGAAAACTTAAATTTTGCTTCATTTTCTCTGAACCATCAGAAGTGAAAATATGTTACAGCATGATACAGAATTTAAACAAAGAAGAGCAAGAGAGTAATCTATGGACTTTTCAAAAGCATATTGAAGATATATCATCACAACTGCAGTTCTGAAAAAGCTCTTGCAACAGAAGGCCACATCTTTCTGATCTCTTCAAATAGCAGTATGGCTTGCACTCATAGTGAAACAGTACAATAGTTGTCAAATTTAAAATAAAAATGTTGGAACATATGAGAAATATATTTTCAGAAAAAACACTGAAGATATGCAATTATTAATTTAAAAATTATGGTTTTTAATAATTTGTTTCTGAATAGACACTATTAAGAGTTCACTAATTGAATGGCCATAGTCATTATTATAATTGCATAATGTAGAATAGGGCTGAAAAGGTGCTAAAGCTTCAAATTTGATGATAAATTAGAATGTGAACTGAAATCATATTTTATCCAGCCTTTTTCTTTCAATATATCCACCAAAAGAAAGCCCACCAACTTTAATACAAAATATTGCTATTAGGAAATAATGGAATAGTCAATGGAATCCTGCCTCCCTATCCTTTACTGTGTATCCCACACATTGTGAAGATAGAAATAGAAACCATATACACATATACATATGTAAACATATACCCTTTGGATTCCAGGAGGAATTAGAAATATAGATAAGTTAATTTGTTTGAAAGCATGTTTTATTAATTGGGAAATCATTCTTCATACTGTACCTTTTAATGCCTTGGGTATCCGAGTATTGGAGTAAATGAGGCTCCAAATAATTCATGTCAGGTTTCGAAAGCTATCCATTGTTTAAAGAAAGGGAGACAAAACTTCTTATAAGTTACTTGATTCTATTGATTTACATGGTGTTTTTAATATGGAAATTAGCACTTACATGAACTTACTTAGATGCAGTGATGGTATTCAGCCAGTTCGCATTGGATCGGGCGAACTGGTAGCAAGAATTTAGCATGGGTCGTCGAACCGGTAGTAAGTTCTGGCTGGCCATGCCCCCCACCCGGTCGCCCTCCTGCCCGATGCTTGCTCACCCCACCTGCCTGCCTGACATTCACCTAAGGTATTTCTTTTTTTCCCCTCCCGTTAATCAGCTGTAGATAAGATTAGCTGTGCCAGGATTCCTCTTGTGAGGCCCAGGAAGGCAAAAAATGGAAGGAGGAGCTCAGCCCCCCCCCCTCCATTTTTTGCCTTTCAGAGCCCCAGAGGAGACTTAGGGCAGAAAAAACGCCCCCCAGAGGCTCTTCTGAGGCTAGGAAGCTTCCAAAATGGAGCTTGGAGAGGTGCTGCGTGCCCCTCCCATGCTCTGTTCCTTTTCTTCCTGAGCCCCAGAGGAGCCTTAGGGAAGCAAAAACACCCCCCCAGAGGCTTCTCTGAGGCTAGGAAGCTCCCAAAAATGAGTGGGGGATGCAAAAAAAAACCCATGCCCACCCAGTCACATGACCACACCCACCAAGACACGCCCACAGAATTGGTAGTAAAAGTTTTTGAATCCCACCACTGGTTAGTTGATCATACTTTTTTCATAACTATATAGAACTTTACTATACAGACTAACCCGATGACAATTCATATATCAATTATCAATAGGAAGAAATTACAATACAGCAAAGAATGTGTGTCTAGGATCATTATCTTTTTCCAGCTGATTATTTATCGGTTGCTTCCAATGTACCAGTCACATTGTTGTCTATCATAGTCAACATTATTAGATTACTTAAACATAGTAAATCAAATCCACCAATCTGTCAAATATTTCTAAAATTTAGATACCTAATGCATTTAATAAGAATCCAAACTTACCCTTTCCTGTAGTAAATCAAAACAAAGCTTGTTCTCGCTTGTTCCAAAATTCAAAATGCCCTAAGAATAAAAGTAACAAATATGGCAAGTCACCAGTAACATCTTCTATTTCCATATGGCAAAATTTTAAAGTAATAAATTTTCGCATCAGAAATGTTAATCTACTAAACCAAAGAGCAATATTAAAGTAATTTGCAAATGTTACATGTTACCTGCCATAGGTGATGAGAAGCAGCCAATGATCTGATTCTCAAAGATAGCTAGCATTATAGGTAGTCTTCGACTTACAACCACAATTGAGCCCAGAATTTATGTTTCTAAGGAAGAAATTTGTTAAGTGAATTTTGTTCCATTTTACAACTTTTCTTGTGACATTTGTTAAATGAATCACTGCAGTTGTTGAATTAGTAACACTGTTAAGTGAATCTGGCTTCCCCATTGACTTGATTTGTCAGAAGGTCACAAACGATGGTCACATGACCCCCAGACACTACAAGAGTCATAAATATGAACCAGCTGTCCAGCATCTGAATGTAAATCACATGATCATGGGGATACTACAATGGCAGTGTGAAAAATGATCATGTCACTTTTTTCAGTGCCGTTGTAACTTTGAAAGTCATTAAACTGTTGTAAGCCAAGGACTACCTTTATTTACTTTGTGCATTTTAAAATCAACTTATATAACTTTTCTACAGACTTTTAGCTATACAACTTGGGATGAACATCCTTTGAAAAGTGTGGGAGTAGGAGTGGATTTCCAGAGGGAAAAAAATGCAGACTGCAGGAACTAGGAGTACTAGTCAGGTGACCTTGAGGACACAGATAAACCTCCAAGTGATCCAAGACCCTCTAAAAGGATGCAGATTGCCAGCTGTCTGCAAGGAATATAAATCCTTCCATTGCCCATTATCCTGTCCAAACCAAAGAAGCTTCTTGGAGAAAAGCTCCAAAAGAAAAAACAAGAAAGTCCAGTTGCTTCCTGAATAAAGCACTTTTGGGACAACCATGACCTGGATGACTGAGAATCTCTGAAGACTCTGCAACCTACATTCTATTTTATTTCCACAGCAGCTTTACTCAAGAGAGGAAAGATATCTCCACTTAAAGATCATCAAGAAAGCCAAATGCAATCCTAAATTGCATTAACACAGGGATACAATCGAGATCAAGTGAGGTACTAATACCACTCTATAAAGCCTTAGGAAGACCACACCTAGAGTACTGCATCCAGTTTTGCTCACATTATAAAAAAGATGTTGAGACTCTAGAAAAAGTACAGAGAAGAGCAACCAGGGTGATTAGGGGACTGGAGACTAAAACATACAACGAATAGTTGCAGGAACTGGGCTTGGCTAGTCTAGTAAAGAGAAAGACCAGGGTAGACATGATAGCGGTCTTCCAATATTTGAGGGGCTGCCACAGAGAGGAAGAAGTTAAGTTATTTTCTAAAGCACCTGTAGGCCAGACAAGGAATAATGGATGGAAACTGAACAAGGAGAGATTTAACCTGGAAACAAGGAGAAACTTTCTGACAGTGAGAACAATCAACCAATGGAACAGCTTGCCCTCGGAAGTTGTGGGAGCGCCATCAGTTGAGACTTTCAAGAAGAGATTGGACTGCCATTTGTCAGAAATGGTGTAGGGTCCTGCTTGGGCGGGGGGGGGGGGGTTGGACTAGATGATCTCCAAGGTTCCTTCCAACACTGTTAATCTGTTATACCTGAGGGTTTTGGTCCGCGTCGAAAGGGTCATCGAGATACTTATCGAAGCCTTTGTCCAGGAGCCCCGCGGCGCCATTGGCGATGCGGGCTCCGCGAGCGGATAGTTCTCTTTGACCGGGTAGTTCGCCGCCACCGCCGCTTGGCAAGCCTCCGCTGAAATCGGTCATCCTGAGGCGGGGAAAGGCGACGGGCTCGCCGACCGGCTGGAGGCTCACGGGCGAAAGGAAGGAGACAGTGACGGAAATGACACGTAAAGAAAGCAGCGACTCCGCCTCAGAAGCGGTGACGGTTCGTCTCAGGCTGAACGCCGTTTTGAATGGCCGAGCCGGGTTTCTTTCCCGCCCACTGGGCGTGACCGAAGCTTCCGATTGGCCCTTCCCCTCGCCTCTCGGCTTCGCTTGACGGGGTTGGAGTGGGGTGCCTTGTCACTTTTTGTCCGTCCTAATGTGGAGACGCAGGGAGATGATACGCGACGGAACGGGTTCTTTCCCAGCTTGTCTCTTTTGTTGAAGCTCCTTCCTAATCTTTAAAAAAAAAGCAATCTCCACCACCTTCACCACCAATAAAATAACTTCGCGGAAACCAGGTGCTTTTGAAATGGATTGATCCACTTTGCACAGCTTGAAGTCACATTTCGAGCATCTGGTTGCATGTATTGTCAGATGCGAAACCTTGAGCTGGCAGGAAAGGATAAATGGACATCATATATACATTTACTTTCAAGAGGATGGGATTAGGTATATTTTCTGATGTTTCTAAATTCTTCATTTATTAAGAATTGTCAGTGGCACAAGAATGTCTGGAAGGTAAGGAAAAGATAAACAAGCAGAAGAATACTTGGAATCCCAATCTTCTTGTAGGTTTGAGAAGGAGGTAGTAGCTTAATCAAGAACAAATATCATTGACTGAAACATAATTAATTGTACTTTACAATTAATGGTTAAATAGAGGATTGCATTCTTGCTTTGTAAAACATAGGTTATTATATTTTATTTTTTTCCCAGAAAAAAATTAGACACTTTTGCACTGTACAAGGACCTATCCCTTCAATGTTCAATAACTGTATTTTAAGCAAGTTGGAATGAGCATGGAAACTTAATATTGATGGGACTATAAGTGTCAGCTTCTGAACCTTATTAAAAATATACTAGATTACAACTATTCTTAGAAAGAATGGTTTAATGGGAAATTTACATATGCATGCAATTTTGAATCCAGCATGCATGCAATTTTATATTACATTATAACACTTCGTTGATGCTATCTATTTTGTGTTTTTATACTATTGTATTACATATTCATGGAAACAGTTTCTATGTGTACAGCACACCCACATAATGATATTGTAAACAAATCAAAATTGCATTATTGCCTGATTTTATCATTATTAGAACAGTCTAGGTAATAATTATTGATAGTTCCAAATATTCCATGAGCAGCGTTATTGAATCACTAGGCTAAATAAAGCAATTTTATTGAATCACATCTAAAGTTTCTTAAGTTCAACCAACACTAATCCTTTCCAGTTTGAGCTAGTTGACTTGGTTTTGGAAACTGGCCAAGCTCAACATAGCTAGTGTAAACAGATATCTATCTTGCATGATGTTCATTAGTTACATAACTGAGTAGGAAAAATAATTCCCATAGGAGTAGGGAAAGTATACTTAGCCTTCTGTCCTTGAAGAATACTAGGTTAGGAGTGATAAGAAGACATGAAAATAGGGAACACTATAGAATAAAATAAGGAATTATTTGCAGTGAATAATTTTTTATAAGCAATTAAAATTTTTCAAGACTTGCTCTTATTTGCTACTGAAAAAAAAAGTGGTTTATAGCTTAGATTGGATATCTCAAAGGTGCTTTTTTCAGAAAGCAATTGGATTGGAAGAATTAGTTCTGTCCTTTTGAAGAAAAGTATCTTTGAGACAACTATGAGCTGGATCACTGACAATTTCCAGATATCTAGATTACAGACTTTAATATAATCTGATCAGAGAAGCGGGTTAGTCTGAAATCTAAAATCCTTTAAGAACTACTGAACTAGAGAACAAAAAGTCCATCTTTCTATGGAATTGAATTTGCATGCTTTCTAGCAATAAGGAGTTTCAATTTAACCAGCAAATCAGCTAAATATCTAACAATCTGATGTCATTGCAAAATATCCAACAACTATAACCTTAAAAGCATTAAGACTATCACTTGGTAAGTTTGAAAATATGTATGCAGTTACTATGATTTTTTGTTTTGTCTTAAAAAACATTTATTACATGGTCTTCCAGTATGAGTCATGCTTGACTGAAGACATTTGTAATGAGCAGAGACAATGATTGCAGTGAAGAACCAGCAAGTAGACAGGTCCTTCGAATTTCTTCAGAAAAGGAGAGATCAGAAGATCATCCATGAGTACTGATCCTGCAGGAGCCGTGGGAGACAACATTTTTTATCTCAGCAGTGGCTAAGCCTTTCATAAGGATGCTAGCTCTATACTCGTGCTTCGCTACGAAATTATGTGTCAGGCTTAGTTTTTTGAGAGGAAATAAGGAAAATAAAATTTTATCTCTACCTTCCAGTATCCATCGGTATTCACCTGGCTAGCATCCTGTCAGTGTGTGTGAGTTGAGGGCTATTTGGAAACTGAAACAGTATTTGCTGTGTGAGCAAGGAGACAGCAAGGAGTGGCTTAGCTCAACTATTCTGTACTAAAGCTGCTTGGTGCTCTGAAACTGAACTCTGCTTGTGTTCTGCATTTGAAACAGATTTCAGGTGGGGAGGGAGAGTAGAACTCTTTAGCATCAGAGCGTGTTAATATAGGAAATACTAATACACTGATGGTCATTTTGAAAAATCCTTTCTTAGTGAGCACCTAGAAGTCAAGAGGAACATAAGTGCCAAATTTCAAGTTTGTAGGCTTTATGGTTCTAGAGATGTTGTGATGATGGCGTGAGTAGTAGTTCGCTTTTATATATATAGATTAAGCAGCCAAATTCACTTCCTAATTACATTCAGAAATGTTTAATTTAATCACTTTATGGATATTAGAGATCTTCAAAACATCTGAGCTTCTAAAGTATAAAAAATTAAAAGTAGATTTAAGCATTAATAGTAATACACACTATATAATAATACACAATTGCAAAAAGCATTTTTTTATTTAAAAAAAATGTTAAGAGATTGGAGACCAGAAAAAAAATGCAGTTTTAGCTATTTTGCTATAAAATTTGAAAAATGAATATAAAATTAAATAATATACTTGAGGGAACTAACTGAAATGGAACTAAACCCATATTACTGAGACTTGAGAAAGTTTACAGATGAAAACTAGAGGGAATTAAACATTCAGGCAGTTAAAATGACTAATTTGGAAATAATATTTTCTTTAACTGAAACAATTTATTGAAATATGAATCTTGGAAATGACAAAGATTTTAACTGATAAACTTTTAGGAAATGACAAAAACTTCAAAAAAATTATCTGACAGTGTTTGAAGGCATGGAAAACAAATCAAGAAAAAGATCTGAATATAGAATAGCTGTGACAAGAAATAGTAAACTAATTTTTGAGAAAAATTAATGGCTAGCATGGAAAGGTTATTCATGGTCAGTTGGATAGGTCAAGTGAGGAGAGCATAGGCCATTAGATCAGTGAAAGGATAAGCTAGCATGTCAGCGTCTAGTGACTGAAATGAATACTGAGAAAATGAATTTAGGGTTTGTCCTATCACATGAGCAGTGTGTGAGATACAGGGATTTAGTCATAGAATGCTGACCTGCTGGTTACATCAGATACAGACGTTGTTGTGCATAAATAATTGGCTCCAGGCTTGAAATAAGATACTGACTCAAATTTACATCCTGTGAAGGTTCAGTGTCAAAAGTAATGCTGATACCACTAGCATTCTTTGGGAAATTTTCTGAAAGCTAAATATAGCGTGTGTACATTTTGATGCAAGATTTATGAAATAAAAACCAAATAGTTTTTAAAACTTTATTAACAATTAAGAATTTACAATATTGCAGAGTATACATAGAAGCAAAAACATTTAATTTTATTTAATTATATTATCTAGAAACATGGAACTGGGTGGTAGAAAATTACTATGCACTGTTGTTTGAACTAAATGATAGGTAAATCATCTTACGTATTTACTTTGTGGCAGCCAGCTTTTTCATATAGATATATTGAAATCCTTTCCTGTTGTCTACAGCCTTACTACTACTTATTTGGCTATAGCCAATTAAAAAAAACCTATTAATTTTTTATGTTTGAAGGTGCCCTTTAGATTGTAATAAATCACATCCTTGCATGGAGACACAGGGGACCATGCAACTGTGCAGCTAGCTGACCCCATAAGAAGTCTTCCCACTGTTTTTGAAATTTTTGATAATTTTTTTGAAATTTTATGTTATGTAATTTTAAGCATTTTAAAACTTAAATTAATTTTAACATTTATTGTTAATTTATGCTGTATATATATTACATTGATTACATTGTACACTGCCCAGAACGGGGATTTTTTTCATGGAGTTCATTTGTATCTGTGCTTTCATGTATCATTTTCCAAGTTCCCTTATCCCTATTTACCACTCGATTTCATTGAGGGCCGCATCAGGGTTGTGTTTGACCTTGGGGGGCTGGAGTGGGAGTGGCCAGGTTGGGTGTGGCCAGCTTGATGTCACTCGTGTCGGGGGCACTGGTGGTGGCCCGAGCAGTCTGCCAGTGAAAACTGGCTCCCAAGCTCTGTTTTCAGCTGCAACGGCTTCCTGAAACCCTCTGCCAGTGAAAATGGAGCTTGCATGTGGCCCTCCCAAGCTCCATTTTCACTGGCAGAGGCACCGTGGGCCAGTTCTTCACTGTTTCCAGGATGGTCCCATGGTCCAGATCTAAGCACCCTGTGGGCTGCATCCAGCCCGAGGGCCTTGAGTTTGATATCCCTGCTTTAGATTCTCAAACTACATTAAGAGTATGTTATCACTCTTTACTTTGATTCATTCCAATATGTTTTCTTCAGATTTTCTTCTCCAGTTAATCTGGGCTACCAACATAGTGTAACTGCTTTCATTCAAAGTGGCTGATACTTTTGATACATACCAATTATTCCCTGATGGGAGCATTAAATTTATTTTCATTTTAAAAATAAAATTGCCAGCAAGTTCTGTTGGATGCTTCACTCTTAGATGCCTCAGTTTTTCAGCAGATATTGGAATATGAAGTTTTCTATTACAATCATTTGCCCTCACCCTCTATAAAATAGGGTGAGTTGATTTAAAAAGCTATTGCTTAGAATATTTTTTAAAATATTGATAATTAAGCTTTCACTTTTCTTTAAATGCAATAAGTTATTCAAAACAGACTGGCAGTTGTTAAATTGCTGAATTTTATTTCTGAAAGAGCAAGAGACTAACTAACAAGAATGCCAATCCCCTCAAGAAAAAAAAAGTGCATACAAAATAAAGGTAATATCTCAAAAAGTTTTAATATAGTTTTCAGCAAAACATACCTTGAAAATTAAAATGATGCAAAATAATCATGAAATAATTAGTTAAATGTCCTTATCATATTAATAGTAACAGACTATTGATAGGTAAAATTTAACATAAACAAATGTTTTTGCAATATTAAGAGTAACATAGACTATTCATAGATACAATTTAGCAAATAAACGCTTTGCTAGAAAATTATTAGTAAACATGATTACTATTTCTTTAACAGAAGTTAAGCTAATGTTACTTTTTGTCCTGGTTTGACAATTGCTCCACTGGATTCTTTTCTCTTTGGATTTTGAAAATTTTCATAGCTTGAAAAAGAATGAAAAGAAAAGAAAGAAAACAGGAGCATATTAGTACCAAGAAAATGTCGTATAAGGCAGTAGTGGGATTCAAATTTTTTTACTACCGGTTCTGTGGGCGTGGCTTGATGGTCGTGGCAGGGGAAGGATACTGTAAAATTTCCAGTCAGAGGTGGTATTTGCTGGTTCTCTGAACTACTCAAAATTTCTGCTACCGGTTCTCCAGAACTGGTCAGAACCTGCTGAATACCACCTCTGGTATGAGATAAATATTCGGGTTAAACCCATTCCAAGGAAATTTTTTAATAATTAATTTAGCATAATTTTTTGAAAGTCATAAAAATGTTTCTACTATTTTTTTCCAGCCTCTACTGAAAAAAAAACAGAATAGATTTAAAATACTTAATTATAGTTAATATTAAAATGTAAATAATTAATACAAATTTGAATAATAATCAAAATTATTGTAAGTTACAAAGAAAAGGGCTGATATTTTAAAAGCTAGAATATTATATAAATGGTTCCTGTCCTATGATTGGAAATTCCGGCAGATTTCCCTAAGACTATCTATAACCCATACTCAAAGTTTTGATGGTCCCTGTAGTCATATTGTCATATTTTGGGTACATGGCAAGTGGCCCACATTTGACGACTACCTGTATGATAGTGATACAATGATCTGTCATTGCTAAATTGAAGCTTTGAATGAAAGGGACCAAGGCCCTACTCACAGGAATAGGAGAAGCAGAGTCTGGGTCCAAGCTTGTCTATGGTTTTACTCATAATCCCAGCTTCAAAGGCAGGGGTGGGTTTCTACCGGTTCTGTCCACCTCTGTAGAACCAGTAGCTCTGAAGAGCAGCAGGCATAGAACCGGTTCTATGTCTGCTGATGTTTTTGCCCATCCGCCCACCCGGGCTGTTACCTGATCTTTATTTCCTGATTTTTCAACTTCAGCTGCCGAACGAGGCACAGGTGCAGTTAAAAAAGCAGGAAGAGGGCTGTTTCAAAGGCTGCTTCTCTGCACACAGCATGCTGATGACGATTTACAGGCACGTGCAGCGTGCAGGGAAGCACATCATAAATCACTGAACCTTGTAAATCCCGAACTGGTAGTTAACCATGTCGTATCCCACCCCTGTTCAAAGGGGATTCAAAAGAGTCCAGAACTGAAGAAGCTGCCTATGTGAAATCATTAATATTTAAGAGCCCATCTGAGCAGTGGTTTGCCTCTCATAGGTGTGCTGAGCTTATGCAGAGTATCAATCAGAACATTCCAGCATTCAGAGTTACTACTATACAGGCACTAAGCAACTAAGCAGCTGATTATTAAGGCACATAATATGAAGAATGAGTTACTGAATAGTCTGCTTTGATTTTTTTATGCATGTAAAGAACTATTGAGATGAACCTGTAGAGTGAGAAAAACTTAATTTTAAGATTAATTTTAACCTTGGGAAGGAAGGAAGAAATACAAACCATCTCTGCCTTAATTCTCTTTAGCTTTCAAGATTGTGTTACTATAACTTACATTAATAAAGAACAGAGCATTCTGTGAAGATTGTTCCCTGATCTGCTGTACCTGTCATATTCTGATATTACAGAGAAATAATCAGCAAGCTGTCTTCTAACTTGATGGATTTTCCAGGATTTCAGTATAATTGAAATCCTGACACGGGATTGGCTCCTAGCAGACAGCATATGGTCACTTACATGGAATATCTTAATGGAGTAGCTAGATACCCTGCTACTGATTTGGAGACAGGGCAATTTAATTTCTGGTTAAAGGATTCTGACATAGAAAGGGACTGTCATATATGAACATATTATTCATGTTTTGTATATCTTGGTAGGTAATAAAGGATCAATAATATCCTACAGTAAGTTTATCAGTCAAGAAATGGAAGTGCAACACATCTGATGATCCTCCAATTCTATGCATGGTATCTATCTTATCTAATCCTAAAGTACCCACCAGTGCCCTGGAAAGCAAAGCCAACAGATTTAAGCAAAACAACACCGGAGAATAAAAAGCAGCAGCAAAGAAGAAAGTGGAAGAAAGCAGCTTTGGAGACAGTTTACTGAATAATTGGTGGAGTAAATTGCAGCATCAAAATGAACAAGTTACTGGTTGGGAAGTTTTCACGTGATAGGAAGTGGTGACAAAGTTGTTAGTATCAACTGGTTAGAGGAAGATAAGACTATTAGGGACAAAGCACTGCAAATACCCACTGGGATGGTGCCATCTTTAAGAATAAAGGACCTGTTATGCATCCATTGAAGAAAAAAAACATTTCACAGATGCAGATAGTAGAAGACTTAACAGAACCAATGCAAATCACAGAAAATAGTAATCAAGAGCAGTTGATATCCAGTTTTGGGGGCTATGATAACACTACTAGTCAAAAACTTGAAAGGCTATCGCCAGAAGAAAGCCAAGTCCTGTTCTCTGCATCTCCTCACCCGCCAAGAGTACAGGAATAATATGTTTAAACTATAGGGAAGCAGATTCAATTTGAATCTTAACAGCAAGGGTAGAATGTAACCAAAAGCTTAGACTGGTAAAAGACTTCTGTTCTCTAGATTGACCCAGAACATAGATAGGCATACTTCCTGGATGCTTCAACTGGATTCCTGTACTAAGCAGGGGACTAGACCTCATAGATTAAATGGACTTTTCAGTTGTATAGACTCTAGTTTCACAGAATCAAAATGTTTACAGCTCAGATATCTGTAGATCCTTTCCCTAGTACTAATAGCATTTATAGGAGTGTGTGGGCATCTTTAATCTAACTTGCATACAAACAGATGAGATTGGAAGTACTGTTGCAAGTACTCTTCTTTTATAGATTACCAAGCATGTCAATATTTTGAGCTTCTTAAATTGTAAGGCTTGAGAATAAAGAGAATATGAAATAGTGCTATTTAACATGCATGATTAAAAACAAATTTCAAATTCTACATTTCAATTTTGGAAGTAGACTTAAAAATCTTAAATGATTATTTGTATTTTATTTGTATATTAAAACTAATATAAATACTTAAAAAACTGAGTAAATAACACTGATTTGATCGAATCAATGGCCATGTATTTGTTGCATTTTACTATCACTGGGATCCAAAACGTTAAGAGCAATGGAGTGAAATTATTTCATATATATTCATCTAATACTTATGAGAATATTCCTGAGGATGGACTTTGCTGAAACTTAAGTAGATGATCATATCAATTTAATTAAGATCAGGGGTGGGATTCAAAAATTTTAACAACTGGTTCTGTGGGTGTGGCTAAGTTGGTGGGTGTGGCTTGGTGGTCATATTATTGGCTGGGCATGACCAACTCAATATCACTCACACTGAGGCACGCATCTCCTCGTCTGGCCTTTCATGACTGTGGGGATGCTGCAACGTCGTAAGTGTGAAAAACAGTCATATGTCACTTTTTTCAGTGCCATTGTAACTTTGAATGGTCACTCCACACAAGCAAAGTACCAGCAAAGGAGGGGAACAATAACTCCAGAGAAGTTCCTGAGACAGGAAGTCTAGTCCTGCCAAGAATGTAATAAGGGTTAACAGAGAGGCAGTTTCTGTAAGCAATACCAGAATGTTCCCTTCCTGTCTTCCTTACAGGATTAGGCCAGTAATTTCTTCTAACAACCAGTTCTCTGAACTGCTTAGAGTGTTAACAACCGGTTCTAGTGAATAGGTGCGAACTTGTAGTATCCCACCCCTGGTTAAGATACATTGACAGTGCTATACAATCAGAACCATGAACCAAACAAGTATTGGTATCAGAACAAACAAAAGTTTGCAAATGAACAACAGTTAACAAGGTATAAAAGGCTGTGTGATGTCTGGTCATTAATACAGTGCCACTAGACTAGAGCACTCCCTAGTCAATTTTGGAGGCCCTAAGCAAAAAGATGAAATACAAAGTCCACGTGTAATAAAAAAAGAAAAAAATCCCAAGGGCAAAAATAAAGCAATGCAAGTTGTGGAATATAGCCAAAGATGACTGAAGGTACAGATCATCTTAATGACAAATGTTAAGAAAGAAAACATTCTTTGTAGTTCTGGTACTCTGAGAGTAAAAGAGAACACAATGAGAACATCTTTTCAATGGGTACACAGGAGAAACTAATAGGAAGATTGCTCCCTTGCCTAGATCCTTTGAAACATCCTAATCAAATGTTGCACAAAACACAAAATCTACATGTATAATAAACAGTGATCATAGGGAAATTAATCTATGCCACCATATAATCAATTTTACAGAATGAAAAGCTGCACCACTCATAGGTGTATGTCCTTGCACGTTATGTACTGTATATGACTGCATGTTTTTTCTATGAATTTTAAGATCCTTAAATATGTTTCTGATATTTTTGAAATAAACTAAATTAACTAGTTTTCCAGAATTTTTATAGACAACATTAAAAGAATAGTTCATATATTCCTCAGATACTTACAGTTCAGCAAACCTCTTCCAGTTTTCTTGACTAATGGAAGGCTTTGTACTTTCAAGAGCAGCCATTAAATGAATCTGAGTAATATTTAAAGTTCTCTTGGCTATTGATGACATGCAGGTAGTGCCTTCCTCCTGGAAAATAAATTAAGGAAAAATATTTTAACGTGTTAAAAATGTAAAATTTAAACATATTTTAAAGGACTACATTTTAAAATCTCTGATAATGATAGCTGAGCTTGGAGATTCTACTAAACATGGTTTTAAGACAGAGTATGGTATTATTTTCCAAATTTTACAGTCAAATCCAGATTTATAGCAAGCTGAGGTGAGATTACACAATACTCCCTCCAAACATTTCTGAGAATTCTTTGACATGATGACCTGGTATGACAGGCTAGTTGTTGACAAACCACATAGTTATGAAGTAACTCCTGCGCAATAGCCAGCTTGCCCATCTTTTCAAATTAGTGTTGCCAATCCTGGAGAAAATATATGCTTGTGATACATTGGCACGTGTATACATAATATGTATATATATCTGCCAAGAGCTACCCTTATCTCCTTTCCCAAAAGCAGGATGAATACAAAAAAATACTAGTTAAAATTAAAAAGGAATTCTTAGAGTCAATGACAATTCTTTGTGACTTCATAAATAATCCATGTTTTCCCTTGGCAACAATGAAATAACATGGAATAAATGTGAAATTCCCAATATCTGATTCAGTTATTAACCAGATACAATCTTGCATAGTTGTCAGTGTCAGCTAGGTGATGTCAATTAATTAAAATATTAATTTTCTCTCTTCATTCTCATATAGCCATACAAATACACTCTTCCTCATTTCAGCAGAGATAAAGAAAAGACACCTAGATTGATATAGGATATATAGAAAGATGTTGTACAGGGAAAGAAAAAGTACTGAAGAAAAACAAAGGTGCAAATAATTTGATCCAGAAGAAAAGAAAAAAAAAGTCACATTTACCAAAAGACAGACAATTCCTCCTCCCAATTTTGCAACTTTGTGCAACAGCCTTTTCTGTTCTAATTCCTATTGGGTCAATACAGTACAGTAATTTGAATCTTATGAGTAATAAATGCTCAATCATAAATGCATGTTTTAATGTCTGAATTAGGACAACATGTTTATAAATGGAAGCTGTGAAAACAATAGTTTAGGCCATGGTTTTGCTGTAATTGCAGACTCTAAGTTAGTAACACCATATCGAAAAATACTACTCTGAGAAGAAAATTATAGTTTTTCTCATACTCCATTCATGCTTTTGTAGTTCGCTTTTATGGCACTGATTTCTGCCCTGAGTTGTTCTATTTGTTCTTGATTACATTCTTGGAAACCTTCCTGTAAAGTTGTTCTTAAGGTTAAGGCTGGAGGCTGAGAAGATACTAAATCCTTCAGAGTTATGCTGGTTAATTCATGGTTTATGGAGTTTGATCCTGAAAAACACTGAGAACTCTATGGAGAGAAGAAGGGGAAACATAAAAAGAGTTAACAATTCACTTAAGTTATTAATATCTCAATAAAAGTTTTACCATAATGAATATTCAATAAGATAAGCTTCAGGGAATGTTTTATCCAACTACTAATTTTAAGCAAAATAATTAAAACATAAATATGTATATTTAAATTACTTTGCAGGAAATAGTTAAGGAAGAAATGTAAATCTTGAACATTTAGTGCCTGAATGTTCTATTTTCCAAAACATTCCATTCTTTTCCCAGAGTGTACTAATCTGGCCATTCTGAGGTTAGGCTTGTCTCATTCCAGGATGAATCTTCCAGAAGAGGTTTGCAATGTTCTGATGTGGCTTGGCACTAGAATACTACAGACCACCTCCTATTTACTGAAAAGTAGTGAAAGAAAAGACCCAGGATCAGCTGAATTTGCAAATTGTAGGATAGGAAACAGGAACATTCTGAGATTGGATAATTTGAGCATAATCAGAAATATCACGGAATGGGTTAGGACAAAAAGAATAGGGAAAACAGGGAAAGAAAAGAAGAAACAACTCACTTTCTTAATTTCTCACCACTTTGCACAAAAGATAAAGCAGCTGTTGTTGATCAAACAGAACAACTTACAGTTATTTCTTCCATGAAAAGAAATAAAAGTGTTGGACAGAACTATGGGGTGGCTAGAAAAGACTGTTGATCAAGATTTTTAAAATTACTTAAAAGTCTATAATGAAATGTATTTGTATTAGTATCTCTGCATTTAAAGGTGTTAATATTATTAATGGGGATCATAATATCACATTGTCTACTAGTTTGGAATAAATTTGTATCATATGCATAATGGTATCCACATTTTTATCACAGTTTTGTATAGAGTTTCCCCCCCTATTTTTGTTGTGTAGCACAAGCATCTAGGAAAAGATCAATCCTAATTTTATTTCAGTGGTCATCAACCTTTCTGGTTCTATAGATGAGCAGTGGCAATGGTGGTGAGGAAGGGATGGTTTTGTGCATATGCCTGCTACTTGTGCAAATGGAGTTCCACATGCTCACCCGCTGTTTCCATGGCCCGATTCCCAGCAGGCCACGGCCTGGGGGATGGGGACCCCTGTATGTTCTATATCTGAACCACTGTTCTATGTTACAGCATTATTCAGCCAATGATTCAGGGAAACAGTTTTCTTTTTTGAAATGAAGTAGAAGCAAAAGAAGCTAAAGGGGAAAAGTGCAAATACAAAAAGGTCCACTGATTTTTAAAGTATGCATCAATGCAAAGTATCCCATCAATGCAAAATGTTGAGTGGAATACAAAATTCTTTGAACAAGTACTGATCCAGAGAAGCAAACTCAAATTTCCTTTTGCTGATTTTATATGTATGGAATTATTTTTATTTATTTTACCACTCCAGAAAAGAAATCTGAATTTTAAAAAATCAATGGTATGATTTTTAAATCACCGGGGAAACAAGAAATTAAGCAAAGTGGAAAAGTTTACCATTTCTGAAGCAGTTCCATTGCCAAGTTCAGATTCATAGGAACTGCCAAAGTAAAGGCGGTAGATGTTAGATCTTGGGTCCTCAGGAAGCAGGTCACACAGTTCAAGGGAAGTTAATGATTGCTCCAAGCCTCCTTCTCCATCTCTGGCAGAATCATCTGATCCACTACTTTGGTTTAAGAAAACCATTGAAGATAGACTAAGATCACTATCTGAGCTGGAACCTACCTCCTGAGGAGAAAATAAATAAAATTAGAATCTCTTAAAATATATGATCTCCTCCCTAAGAAATGATGGTCTACTCCCTCCCTTCTAGGCTTTGGACTAAGGTGATAAAATATTCTATCTATCTACCTATCCACCATCCATCCATCCATCCATCCATCACATTTATATAGCCACTTATCTGATACCAAATGCAGGTACCTCCCAACTAAGAATTAAATCAATATCCATAATAAATCATAAAAATCATATGAATTTCTTTTTGGTTCAAAATGTTTGCTTATCAAAGCAAATTACTCAGAATCAAGAACTTGGATAAGCAGCAAAACATTTCAAAGCAACAAGAAAAGAAATGTTTAATAGATAAGCTGGCAAGATACATATTTGCATATTTGAAATGACTAATGAAAGAAAGCGTTAAAATCAAGAAATCCTGTTGTTAAATAAAATAAATAAAAGAACAGAAATATACATCAGTAAAAAAGCACATATTCACTGTATAATATGTAATCAGCAGTATATTCTATATAATGACCCAAACCCCAAACCTCCATTGGCCATCTTGCCTGTTTTGAATTCCTTGTGGACACTACTGTATGTGGTCAACCCCAGAAAGGAAGGAAAATATATCTCAATCAAAGAATACAATCACATTGCATTATCATTGAAAAGTTTTACATTTTGCTGCAGAATAATAAATTCTACAACTTTACAGCCAGCATATTTTCAGAGCTTTAAGTGATGGAACAATATTCAATACCAAAATAGATATGACCAAAGCTTTTAAATCATTGGAATTTCATAGAAATGTGGGTGAAATTTGTTTTTCAAAGCCAAAAGTTTTTAATATTCACCTCGACTTCATAACTATTTTACAGTGCAGCGAAGTCAAAATAATATTTTGGAAATATTAAGAATGTAAAATATGTTCTTAAGTAAGATATTTTAAACGCTCCAGCTACTAACTATCTGAGATTTTCCCAACCATTGCCTCATTTTAGAAATTATAAACCAAAGGCTAAGGAAATTCTTTTACATTTCAGTATACTTACGTGGGGCAAAGTTGAGTTCAAGTTAGCATGCACTGCTTCTAATTGGGCATTGTATAATAAAGCTTTTAAATCTGCCCCAGTGAAATGCTCAGTTTTTGCTGCCAAATACTGAAAATCCACATCATGTTGCAAAGGGAGAGAATGACTCAGAGCTTTTAAAATCTCATATCGGGACACCTTTAGAAAATTATAAGAAACTTTGTTATTAAAAGAATGGATTCTTATCCTTAGAAACTCTTTGTCAACCAGGAAAGGGGACTCTGCTGAAATGAAGGTAGCACACAGAAAGATATAGGAAATAAATGACCTATTCTGTAGAGTAAATACATTTTCATTATTTTTTCTTAACTGAAAGCTTACCTAGATCTAAATAAAAATGATTAATCTTTATCTTTAAAATTCTGAAAAAATATAACATTCTCTCTGATGACTACATCCCCAATGTCATTTACAGAAATAAAACATTTAGTGAATGAAATTAAATATAATGTCTTTTTATTCACAAACAGATATTCTACTGCAGCCTTTCAGTTTTTGTCAATATTGCCCTATGATACATTGTATTAAAGATGATAGGTAAGAATATTTGTACAGTACTGTTATTTTTAAACACACTATAGGATAAAAGAACACACCATGGCCTATTCTGAGCCTAATTCAACTGAAAAGATCAGGTATAGATCTGGAAATCAAAATGTTTCAAATATAATTAGTTTAATATTAAGAGTATGGTGTTGTGCCAGTGACAATTTAGGAATAATTTAAATGTGTTCAGAAGATCTTGGAGAAAATGGAAAATTTCAGTTAAAATATTTAATAGTATGGCTTAATTTTTGAACACTATTTAAAACTATGAGTTTCTACAAATGGAAGAAGCTGCTGCATAGGGTTATAATGACCTGTCAAGCTGCCTGCTTGATATCTGAGATGGTAATAAAATCAGTAGACTTGGAGGTCATAATTATGTAATACCTGGTCTGACTTCATGCTTACAACAGGTTAAGAGAAGAACATACTATCACTGATTTCATGCAATACTAGTGATTGTCAGGAAATACGTTTCATTCTGCCTTTTTATTTTACAGAGGAAAACAAGCTTTGCCTAATGTAACATCTGGCATTGTATTTTATTTCTTTACCTGATCAGGAGGCGGACAGTATAGACACTTATCCAATCGACCGGGTCTCAAAAGAGCAGGGTCAATCAAATCAGGACGACTAGTGGCTGCTAGAATATAAACTCCTAAAATCAAATTAAGAATATTTGTTACTAAAAATCTGCCAATCATCTTTCTGAAAGTATCAGACATGAGAATGTAATAATAACTGTTTGTTTGTTTTTTTTACTTATTTTGATACTTTGCTTAATTATATATTTTAATTGTTATATTTGATTTCTGATATGCCATACTCTCACACTCTGCCTATTTTTGTGTGAAAAGTTTGATCATGGCTATTCCTCTGAAAGTTGATCAGACTAATCAGATTCTGATAAAGGTTTATTTCCCACCCTACAGTCATATCATCCAAATTAATGGTGGCTGGGATTTCTTTGAATCTATGTATTAGGTTTCATCTCCCAATTCCCAAATTCAGTAGTAATAATTGCCAGTGACTATAGAATATTTAGAATTAGAATTATTTATTAGAATTAGAATTATTAGAATTAGATTTTTTTATTGGCCAAGTGTGATTAGACACACAATGAATTTGTCACTGGTGCATAAGCTCTCAGTGTACATTCAGCAATAGTGATAGATCTTATAAGACTGAGGAATAGGGACAGATTGGGTTTTTTAAACAATATAATGCCATTCTATGCTTTTCTTCAATTCAGGGCAACTCTTGGAAATGGCAAAACCTTTTTTTTTTGTATAAAGTTTGTATAAAGTTGGTGTTTGTCTTGGGTCCTGAGTCATTAAATTCTACTTAATGCTGAAAAAAAGGAAATGGCAAATCTTGGCATAACTACAAGGAATTGGAGACTCTTTTTATTTTATTGTTTTAAAGTTATTAAATAAATCTATTTACTGTATTTCTGTCTACAGTATATCTCAATGCAGCAAACCCCATGTCCAAGGTGGATGAATCTATACCTGACGGGCCTGGTTTCACTTTTCACGTTAAAAAATTAATCTCTCAGGAATCTCTTGGAATAACAATAGCCCACAAACCCACATTCCTACTCAGGCAGGAACTTACAAAAATCAAAGACAGAACACAGAAAGAAGACCAGAACTAACATAACATACAGAATCAGTTGCAACAATTGTAAACCAGTTCTATGTTGGGCAGACAGGACGACAGTTAAAAACTAGAATTCAAGAACACTAGTTGGCTGTCAAGCGGCATGACCCAAAATCCCTGATCGCCAACAAACAATACGGTTTGACTCAAAGGAAGCTGAAGTCATTGGCCACGTCAAAACCCGTCAAGCATGCGAGTATATCGAAGCCTGGCATTTTATCAACGGGTTCATCAACTTGACCTAAACATTGACTTAAAGCCAGCATACGGACTAATAAGGAAGTGGAGACTCAAATCACTAATCAATGACAGAACTAACAGAGCTGAATTTCGTGCCTCACAGCAACCAGACAGAAATCACAAGACCAGAATCAGTCTTGTGATTCAACCAGATTTGTGAGTCAATCAGTTTTGTGATTCAACCCTTCATAAGACCAATCGACCAGCCGGGACCTATATAAACAAGACACTTCACCCAAAGCCCCACTGAAAATGTTACTTAGCAGATAGACTAAACTTATGTATGAAAGCTGCACTTGTGTTATTTAAATGTCTATTATATGCACAATAAGGATGAAAATTCACAATCTGAGTTCACAATTTGAACTGCTCCTCTGATTATGAGATTTATGCTCTTCCTTTACAATATTAAATTCTCAGAAGGTTGCAAAAATTTTATCAATAACCATGGTTTCTAGAAACCACCTAATGCACCTTAATTACCATTTCAGATTTTAACAATGTAATTTTATTGTTTTATTTACTATATTTGTTTTACTTTGATTTTATGATTGATTTTGGACAATGCATACATATATACCTTTTAAGCCTTCTACACCATCTAATTGAGTCAGCAGTTGATTAACAACTCGGTCAGTTACACCAGTGTTATCGTGACCTCTTCGAGGAGCAAGAGAATCAAATTCATCAAAGAAAAGTATGCACGGCTTGGCTGCTTGAGCTCTGCAATAGAAATACACTTCAGACTGAAGAAACAAAATATCATCTACCAAAAGTGAAAGTGTGAAATTAGCAAAATCTGATACAGGCAGTCCTCGAATTATTACTGCAATTGCCCCCAGAATTTCCATTGCTATGCGAGACAGTTGTTAAGTGAGTTTTGCCCCATTTTACAATCTTTCTTAAGTGAAAGCATTAAGTTAAGTTAGTAACATGGTTGCAAAGTGAATTTGGTTCCCTATTGACTTTCTTATCACAAGGTCGTAAATAATGATCATATGACCCAGGACACTGCAATTATTATAAAAATATGCCAATTGCCAAATTTCTGAATTTTGTTCATGTGACCATGGGACTACTGCAGTGGAGTACTGCAGTAGTTGTAAGTGTTAAAAATAGCCATAAAGTCATTTTTTTTTCAGTGACATAACTGAGACCATCACTAAACAAATGGTTGTAAGGCCAAATACTAGCTGTATTTCATCTCTTTCATAAGCCCTCTTGCCCTGTCTTTCTCACATTGCCTTTTAGCAAATTCAGTGACTATTTTTTGCAGTGATCATAAAAATAGACTCTGGAAACAACACTATATTACTGGACCCAACCTGTTAAATACATCGCGAACTGCCTGTTCACTTGCTCCAATGTATTTGCTGAGCAGTTCTGGCCCCTGCAAAAAACAAAATGGTAAATGTTCCAAAAATCAAGTTATATAGTACAAGTGAAAAGCAATTGCACTAGTAAGTGATTTTAAAATATAGTGACTTAAAATGTTTCTAACACACTTTTAAATGTATATTGTTTTAAAATGTTTCTATCTCACTTTTCTGCTACAACATTCAAACTGTCAAGGATTCATACTTCTCAAAGATGATGAATGAGGAATAGACAAGAATAAGGATTCTTTTGAATCATAAATATAATAATACTTTTAAATTTTGAATTACTGGGATAAGTTAAAATTACTGAGAAAAACCAATACACAAAAGATAAATTATATAGAAACGTTTTATAAAATTAAGCAATAAATCTATATTAAAATAGATGTTACTCTCAATATTCTGCTGAGTTTTGCTGGCATGAATACAGAAAATTGCCTGTACAATTCCCTTACATTGATTAACTGATGATATGGAGCATCTCATCACTGTCAACTCCTAGCAACCACATGATATTGTACGTGACAATATGTCCATAATTTTTTTCCAGCTATTTAAATGATATACCCATCTGCACACAATTAAGTCCATCCAGAATAGAATAGCAGAGTTGGAAGGGACCTTGGAGGTCTTCTAGTCCAACCCCCTGCCTAGGCAGGAAACCCTACATCACTTCAGATAAATGGTTATCCAACATATTTTTAAATTAGCCAACATCTTTTTAAAATCCAATTTGCTGCTGGTCATCCTCTTCTTCTTTTTTCTTTCCCAGCATTAGAGCCTGTTCCAGAAAACTAAATCTTTGCACGATGTTTTAAGGTAGAATAATTTAAGCTCAGACATTTGTGCCTTTAGTGAGAATTTTGAGTTTATTTGTTCCTTGATCCATCGGTTTGTTTTCTTGGCTGTCCACTGTATTGTCCACTGTATTCTCCAACACCAAAGCTCAAAAGCATCAATACTCTTCCAATCCTTCTTCTTCAAATCCAGCTTTCACTTCCATAGAGTGTCACAAAGCTTCCATGACTCTGATCTTTGTAAGCATAGACACATCTCAGGATTTAAATTTCTTTCTCAAGGCCTTCATGGTTGCAATGCCAGAGGTGATCGCCTGGATAGCTGAACTGGACATCTATTATGAGGCCGCTGCCATACCGCCATAGAAGTTTTATTTATAATTATGTGGACGGTGTACATAGGTTTACTTCTCTTCTGTCATGTTTTCATCATACATTAAATAAATAAATAAATAAATAAATAATGGTTGCTATAGCAACTGCTAGCCTGTAACCAAATTTTGATGCATGGTCCTTTCTTGTTAATAGTTGATTCTAAAAGGGAGAAGCTATCCATCACATCGATATTTTGGTTGGCAATTTTAAGGCTAGTTCTACCTGTTGTCCTTAGTTTGATCTTCTTTATATTTAATTTCAGTTTCATTTTTCCCCATTGTGCATCTTGATGTTACTCCAGCTCATGGTATAATTAGTCCTCAACTTAAGATAGCAGTTGGAACCAGAATTTTTATTCCTAAGCAACATAGTTGTAAAGCATGACTTCATCGCTTAGAAAAAGTCTCAGCTGCTATTGTTAACTGAATCCCTCAGCTGTTAGGTAAGGCAACTTTTTTCCAGCTTCCTACAACTAAAGTGAGTGGGGAAACTAGCAGAAATTGAAAATGCCAGGAAACAGGCATGTAAATGCTGCCTTCTAGGTTGGGGACAGAGTGAGGTGGTGCATTGCATACCAAGCAGAAGGGTGTGAGAAGGTGTGCAAGATGAGCCATGTGGATTGGGGAGGGTGTACGAAGGTCTGAGGGATGTGTGACTTGGAAGGGGCATATGAGAGATAGACCATGGTGTGTGCAGAGGGTGTACAAGGATGTAAATGAGGCACTGCGTGGCTGAGGAATGAGTAGGGGATGTCTAGGAGTGTGTAAGAAGTGCCACAAAGGTTGTGGGGAGGGGTGTGTGAGTGGCACTGTGCAGGTTGGGAGCTGTGTGAAAGATGCTATGCAGATCAGGGAGGGTGTGAGAAAGTGCATGAGATGTGCCATGTGGTTTGGGCTGGGGGAGTGTGCACAGATAGGCGAGACTTACCCCAACGATTTGTGATTTTCTCCACTCTTCCCTTTCCATTGACTTTTTGAGGAAGGTGGCAGGGAGGGTTACAAATGCCAATCACATAATTGTGGGTGCTTGGCAACCTGGCTTAAGTGCAAACAGATTACCAAACAGCTAAATTGTGGTAATGCAGAGGTGTCAAAATGACGGTCCATGGGTCACACCCACCCCAGCTCCACGAAGGGAAAAAACATTGTAAAACATCATGTTCAACACCTGTGTGGCAATGTAACCAATGGGTTGCTCGGACAACTACAACTCTGAAGACCAGTTGTAATGACCATTCATTCAGCAACATCATAACTTTGAATAGTTGCTGACTGGATGGTTGTGGGTTGAGGATACCCCTGTCTTCAGCCATCAGGGGAGTATTGTCACAGTAGCACAGATCGTTGATGTTTCTTCTTTTAGTTTTAAAACCATAGCTATCTTCTTCCAATTGACCATCACTTAATATATATTTCACATATAGGATGAATGAATTAAGGAGAATGTATACAGCTTTGTCGCACTCCTTTGCCAACTTGGAGCCAATCTTTCACCACAATCTATCTGTACAGGGGTTTCCTGACCTGTACATAAGTCTCTCACAAAGGAGAATGCATGATTCTGAGATGCCCATTTTTTCTGAACACGTTCTACGTCTTAATTCAAAATTTAAAGTAAAATCAAATAATAAAATCAAATAACTGCATTCTGTAACAATATCCATAACACCATCAAACATCCATATTTGCCTATGCCTGGTCTTTGAGAAGGATTTGATTGGCAGACAAAAATGCAAAATCCACTCTGAATATCAGACCATAATAAAAATAATAAATAAATAAATAATAATTAATAATAAATTACAAATAAAGCAAAAACAGTCAAAAAAATCCTCAAAGGGCTGATACAATGGATCATGGATCTTTTTTTTTGCCACCAATTTTCTATATTTCTAGCTTGACATCATTGCAACAAACGGCCTTTCTATAATTACTGTGTTAATGTACCTTAATTGCATACACAGATAGCAAAACAGATTCAAAAATGCATCATGCAGATTTTTAGAAGGCTTCAGTTACCTGGCAAACTCTATATGCATTTTATTTGGAAACCAACCAATTACACCTTAGCACTTTCAGGAATTACCTAAAAGTTCAATTTATTACCTTGATGCTGATAAAATTCATTCCACTTTCTTGGGCAACTACACCTGCTAATAAAGTTTTTCCTGTTCCTGGAGCCCCATATAGTAAGATTCCTGTTCTTTGCCGTATAGGTAGATTAGCAAATAATTCTGGATACTGGAAATGGAACATATCAGAAATATTATCTGCTTTTAAAAGTATAAAAACTCTGCTACCAATCATTTGACTAATTGTTATGTTTCTGTGGTTGCTACAGTATTTTCTAATTATCAATAGAACTAGCATAACGATCTCCATAATAGCAATAGCAATAACACTTAGACTTATATACGCTTTATAGTGCTTTACAGCCTTCTCAAAATGGTTTACAGAGTCAGCCTATTGCCCCCAACAATTTGGGTCCTCATTTTACCCACCTCAGAAGGATGGAAGGCTGAGTCAACCTTGAGTCTGGTGGGATTCAATCTGCCAAATTGCAGTAGGAATAGGTTGCAGTACTGCACTCTAACCACTGCACCACCGAGGCTCCTTAATAATAACAACAATAATAACAATTCTGGAAAAAAATTAGCTTCTTTTAAACAACTAGGACTCGTTTAATTTTATTTCTTTCAAGTGTAATAAAAATGTTTTTGCTTTCTATTGATGATGTTTTTTGCATTTACTTTAATGTGACTTAATGTGTATTATAATTATTATGTGTATTATAATTATTATAATAAACATTAAGCCCAATAATTATCAATTGCTTTATACAACTTATATATATATATATACATGCTCTTATGAAACTGTTGTTTCTTAAGCTAGAACATTTCAGAAATCTTTGTTATTGTTCCCTGACAAAATAGAATGATAAAAGGAATTGCTTTGGATCTCAAAAACATAAACATGAAAATACCTTTGCAGGTAACTGGATAGTATCTGTAAGTATTTGCTGCATTTCTTTAAGACCACCAATTTTATCCCAGCCCAAATTCTGAGGCTTATGCAGGTTAATGTTTCTCAAGGATATTGGGGTAAAACCTTGTATAGCTTTTTGGAAATCTAAAGTTGATAGAACCAAATCTGTGAAAACAGAGAAGAACATGTGTTACATTGGAATACTAAGCCACGACACACAAAGTATTTCTGAATATCTCATACAATGGAGTTTTTAATGATGGGTGAGTGGACGCCCACGCTTGTGCACAAAAGTTGTGTGGGTGGCAGGCATGCACACCTGCTGCTTACACACATGCAGATGTACAGAGAAGTGAGCTCCTGCTGCTTACACAAAGCCATCCCCCCACCCCGCCTCCTGGTTTGCCAAGTCAGAAAAGTTGAGGATTACAATAAATTTGGGCAGAGTCATACTTGCTTCAATTGCACCTGAGCATGGACAGCCTTGACTGAGCTGTTGGCACTGGATAGGACTGTGAATGGGATATACCAATGCTGGGATTTTCCCTCAACAGCTCTTGCATTTGAGGCCATGTCAAAGCAAAGCCAATAGTTTCTTTTATTAGGGTTCAGACAACTCTATTTATTATTTTGAATGGTTAAGACTCTGCAACAGTTAAGGATTCCTTCTTGCCCTACAATTTACCTGCAAGGTGTAAACAACTAAAATTGTTACAAGCCACTACTCCAGCAGTTAGGGAAAATGATATCATAGTTCCATTTGTGAAAGAATCCAATATCTTTGTATTTATGCCTCAATAAACATTAAAATGCCATTTTACGTTATTTTAATTCTTAAACTTGCCAAGAAAACTGCATGGACTTGTCCAGACAGTCTCCAAAAATTATGCATGACTGAATAGAAGAAGAAAAAAATCTTGCCTTTTATTTTCTATATTTAATGGCTTTGTGTTACAAAATCCCTTAAATATTTTAAAGTGCATTAGAATAAAATCATTGATTACATATACCTTCTTTTTTACAAGTTCCCCTCCTAAGAATGCATGAATGGATGGCACGATCAATTAACACTGTAAAATCTCTAGCTACAAATCCTTCTGTTTCCTTTGCAATTTGAGGGAGATCAAGATCACAGAATCTCCCTAAACTGAAGTCAAATTTGTTTTTTATTATGGATTCAAGGATTTCATATCTTTGCCCCTGGGGAAAAAAAAACAGCAATTTTAGCCAGGAAATTCCTGAAAGCTTCCATTTTACCTCTATGCCAGCTACCAAAAAAAAAAAGACATCGATTTTAAACAGAAGTAAAAGGACTAAATTTGGAAGCTGATAAAATGCAGCTCTAAACATTCCATATATCGTATTTCAAGCTTCAAGCAAAATTAGTCAGAATAAGATTCTATGGTTTTAATTAACTTCTAAATGAAACTGAATTATGATTTTTACCTGAGTTGGAACTTGAATATGTTGAAAACACTGAAATAGATGAATTCCTTGAGTAGAAATGATGGAAGAATGTAGGGACTGCTCAGATAGACTTGTGGCAATATGTGCAACCAAACTGTGCATGGAAGTAACTTCCTTTATCATTTCTTTCAGAACTAGAATTTTTTAAAAAAGTTCAGCTTTTATGCATTCAAAGATTATATAACATACAATTTATGTGACAGTTAAATTTTACACAAGAACTTTTTAAAGTTCACTGTTTGCTCCATAAAAAGACCTCTGGCTTTGAAACTATGTATTCGGTTTATTTCCAATGGGCATTTGTCCTGTGTACCTACAACCCATACGGTATTTTAATTTTGCACTACAAAGAGATGCCAATATATTTTGTGCATTTATTATGTTGTCAAGAATAAATACAATGTATAGCATATCAATTATAATAGCCCTCAACTTAGAACCATACATAATGGAGCCGATTGTATTGGATGCAAATCAGGACGGTCTTTAAACAAAGTACTCATGTGATTGTCTTGCTCACCATCTTGGCATTCCCAGGTGTGGTTGCTAAGCAACCATGTAGGTCAATAAATAGAGGGAAAGAGCTGCCTGTCAAAAGAGAAGGGAATTCCTACACTGGGCTGGAAAAACGAAGCTTGGATTCAAAGATTCAAGCTTCCTTTCACTGGCCAAAGACATTCTGATTATGAGAAAAAAATGATCTCTTCCTTACACAACTCATCATTTCAATACATAAGGGAGCTAAATTATCACCCCCCCACCCTTTTCTAAAGGGATCATTCTGAAAGCAGGGGAAAATCTTTCTTCTGCTTCAGAAAGATTGGATTTCCTGGGAAGCTAGAATAAAGGATCATTCTGAAAGGGATGGGAGGGACAGGCAATGAATATAATTCCAGAAGTTGCTTATTTCCTAAAAGAATAAGCAACTCATTCTGATTTAACTAAGGAAGACATTTGGAATCAGATAGAAACATGCTAATATACTTGAATATTCTTAACAGCACAGGTTAAAAAAAAACACCACAAGCCTCTTACCACGAGCAAGACAAGTGCTCTGGACTGCTTTAGGACTGTTCTCATGTTCTGGAGCAAGGGGAACACCCATTATATGATCAAGATCATCTAACAGAACGATCGACGGCTGTCTCCATGCTGCCTCTAGGAAGGCTTCTTCCAGCTTCTTCTGTACACTTTCTAATCTTTTCCCTGGAACATTATGTATTGTCAGTGGTAGAAAAAAAGTGGACCATTTCCCAATGCAGTTATCAATGTATCCTTATGTAACTTTGTTTCAGTTCTGGTTATATCCACATTTTTTAACAATACTCATTTACTAATACCCACCCAATTATAAAAAGACAAAATATAAATGTTAAACCTTCATTAGGACAGAAGATGTGAACTTTGGTTAAAGTCATATGGTTTAATATTGTTAAGTCTTAAGAATTGTTAGATTGAACAAATTCTGGAAATTTATACTAGGCATATAGGAAATGATAAGACAAGGCAAAGACAACTATTACCTCTTAAAGCTTTACAATCAATCACTTCCAAATGAGTATCAAATTTATCAAATGCTTCCTTACAAATGGCCTTTGCTAATGTTGATTTGCCGCTTCCCTGTAAAAGAAAATTGGGTTGAAACTACTTCCTACTCTAAGAAAATATATTCTAATAGTTTAATATAAACTGATAAAATGAGTAAATTCAATAAATTCAGAAATCTATAATCCTTTCAGCCACATGACTGGTCCACCAGCAAAATATCCGCTTGATTAAGCAATGGCAGCATTGTACTCAAATGTCTTGTGCTATTACATATTATTTCAGCCTTTTAAATCTATTTTCCCATGCTTTGTATCATTGCCTTTATTAAATAAATGACTGCAATCCTTCAGTTTGCCACCAATGAGTCAAATGGGGATATATCTTGTTCCAAAGAGACTTCAGAGTGCTTTGTTATGGGATTCTCTCTCCATTGACACTTGACAGTTTATCTTATAATTTCTTATGATTTCCCATTCCTTCATCTGAAGAACCAGATCAGCTACTGTTTTATGGACTGAGAAGATCTTCATTTATATTTTCTATGTAATGCAAATTCATTCCCTCATGTCTGCATTCCCTGTGTCATAGTAAGACCTATTCTGGATGTTAAGAAAAATTTAGAATCATATGAGTTTAATGAAATTTCAGATCCATGAGAACAGGCAGAGTTTACACAACTCAGGTTACACAAGACCAATCATCATCTATATATTTACTACCAGTTTCATGGTTTTAGGAGAGATTCTAAAACTTTTTCCTATTCTTTATTGGCATATATAGAAGGATGCATAATAATAAATGCAGCAGAGAAATATATTTGTTATACTTTGGTATTTAAGAGTCAAAGAACTGCATAAAATATTCCTTTAGAAGAAGCAAATTGAAGCAATTTCATGAACTGCCTGAGATAAAAATACAAATAACAAAAATGAAAATGTCCTGCATGCTAAAAGGAAAATTAAAAGCCTATTTACCTTCGCTCCAGTAATTAGGACACCACCACTGCATAGTCCAGCACAAAAGGGAGCTAGTTTTTGAGACAGAGGATGTATCAAGAGGCTATGCGATATGTGTTTCAAAGATGATAATCCAATGTTATCCACTCCACTGCAAAGAACAAAATTGAGAATTTCCATCTCTACCCTAATCAAGCTACGTATCAATTAATGTTTTCAGAATACTGTATAAAGCAGTCCAAAACGGTATGCTTACACTTATGATGTTACTGAATGTGAAGATGGTGAAAATTATGCACAATGAATGCACAATGAATATTTTTAAAAACCATCTTTTCATCATTCATTTCTTTCCTTTCTGTTGTTATTAAAATGACTCACCCTAAGTAGTTTAGATTGAGCCATGGCAAAGGCTGTTCACAACAAGACTGGAAGTTACTACTGTTGAATCCTGAAGACACAGGATGTAACAAAACCTGCAGAAAGAATATACTGTTAGGGGCAGAAAAAGAGATAAAGGAGAAGCCACATTTATAATGATGTAAGTCCCATTAAATCCAATAAGACTTATTTCTGAACAGTCAGAAGTAATATCCTGGAGAAAATATAATGATACACAATTACTTAAAAATAAAAAATAGCAATTATGTAACAACTCTAGAAGCATATAGTATAACACAAGAATGGGCATCATATTTTGTGGACAGGCATATTTTTAAATTAATGGGGAGCTGTGATCAGTGATATCAAAACAACACAAAGTGGGTAGAACCAACTTTGGAGCTCATTTTTATTTGGAGGAACTTATAAAATGGAAGCTGTCAAGCGCACATTTTTCTGTTAACTTCCATAAAGTAAGAACAATTGGCTAAGTTATGGAAAGTATCAAGGTTGAAATACTAAGCTTATGAAGACTTCACACACTGCCCTTTAATGTTCTTTATTTAAAAATGAACTGAAAATGTTGGTCTCATCCACACTGCAAAAAGCATCTGAAGTTTAGAACTGGAACACAGTTTACTCAGTTTGAGTTTCTTGACTAAACTTCGACTCTTTAGGTTATAACATCACATCCTTCCAAGGTGGGTAAAATGAGGATCCAAATTGTTGGGGGCAATACGCTGACTCTGTAAACTGCTTAGAGAGGGCTGTAAAGCACTATAAAGTGGTATATAAGTGCTGTTGCTATTGCTATTTACCTGCTACTAATCACAGAACTATGGAGTCAGAAATAGCAAATCCAAAGATACGATAAGATGGCAAGCTAAACTAAGCTAAACTAAGCTAATAACTTGTTTCACAAAGAGGTCTCTCCAGAATTCTCTTCAGATATTATAATGCATCATAAATTTATAGTGAAATTTAATATTTTATACAAAGATTTAAAAAATCAAGAAAATCAAGAAAAACTATAATCTTAAGTAAATTGCATTAATATTTTAAACTTTTGATGATCTAAAATTAGTTATATTTACTTGTATATTTGCCTTCTGCAGCAAGCTAGGGCTCAAAATGAAAGTATTTCTAGCTTTCTCTTCTTCAGGGTCAGAAGTGACTATAGTGAGGACAAAGTCTTCCAGGCCTTCCAAAATACAATAAGCATTAATCTGATTATTATTCAATATAAAATATGCCATACTTTAACTTCATATATCTAGTTGGTATGATAATGAGTTTTACTGTGTACATCAGGAGTCCACAAACTGTAGGCCGCGGCCCAGAACTGGGCTGCAGAAGCTGCCGGTGAGCAAGCCTGTGTAGGCAGCTCCAATTGTGCAAGCAGTAGGTGAGTGTGTGTGCACACAAAGCTCCATTTGTACAAGCAGCAGGCGCATGTGCAGCTCTGTGCGCATTTGTGCTGTCCCGCTGCTTGCATGGAACCATCCCCTCCTCTCGCACCCCTCCGCCAGTCTGCAAAGACGAGAAGATTGGGGACTGTTGGTATACTTCAGTATTTTTAGTTTTCCTTTTCATTAGTTACAAAAAACCACAATTTTAAAGGACTAAACAAAGCAGAGGAAAAAAATTCTTTACTGTTAGATCAGAATGAATAGATCAGATTAGATGTGCTGCAATCAAATAAATAAAACATTAGCCATTTCCTTTGCAGCTTTTTTTATAAATTATCAAAAGTTTTTTTTATAAATTATCAAAAATATTTATGACAAGAGACATTTAATTATTAATCTAATATATTAGCTATAAATAAACTAACTGAAATCTAATTGTAATTGGCTAAATCTTTTAAAATTGATATATAGGAAAAACCCTGTAACATGCAATAGTTACAACAGTAGCTGAATTTTGCTTACCAAAGTTAAGTGTCAATTGTAGATAGCTTGTTTCTGCTGTGATCAAGGGAAGCCTAATGTAATCCTCTAGCCACAACTTAAATGCATTTTTAATGTCTTCTTCACTTATTTCTCTATTCTAAAATGAAAAAGGATGAGGACTGTGAATTCAGTGATATTTTTTCTAATAAAAACGATTTTTATGAGGAGCTTTTCTCATTTTGTTACCCATTAGATGATGGGTTACCAGTAATCTCAACACTATCCACAAGTTGACCTCATTTTTGTTATTTTCTAAGGAACTTTGATGTCTTTCGAGGGGGAAAATATATAAATTTAGTAGAATTCACTTCTTTTATATAACAAAATGACAATTTCAGGCATACTGGCATTAAGTTTCTATCAAAAGTGAGAAAGCCCTCAAGCAATCCAAGCATTCCAGAAATTTTATTCTAAATGTTTGCTTTGGAAACTAAGGAACAAAGAAACACTTGGATTTTTTCAGGGTACAAATTGAAATGTAGATTTTAAAAAACATTGATTTAATAGCTTTAAATAATGGGTACGGTGTGGAATTGTAGAGAAATACAGTAAAATAAATAAATACAGCATATGAACTAACTTACTGATTTCTACCCACTCAGTTGAATTGAACATTTGGGAACATGGAACATTTGGGAGCATACTGCCAGAATTCCTGCCATGCTCCTTTTAAGAAAAAATCAACATAATTCTCTTCCCCATACTAGAGAATTGTTAGTAAGAATTGGAGAAATATGGACAGTTTGTGATTTGGATCATGCTGGATGAAAGTAGGAACAGAGAGCAACTGATGAATCATTGGTTTTCTGTGCCCATGAAGCACTTTTGGAGTGTAAGCATTTACGACTGTTCAGTAAATTTAGCATTATAAATAATAATATCCAAATATTCATTTGATAAAACTTCGGAAAAAAGAATTCATTACAAAAATTACAACTTTTAGGGAGGTTAAATCCATTTCGGAGTACACTAAAGAGATGGCTCATCATTAAGATATTATCTTTGAATAATTTGAGACTGAATGTGACTGAAGTTGCTAGAAAAATATAATTATCGATGAAACATTTGAACTGAGGAAAAGTGTATCAGAAATTAGTAAAAAATATAATTACAGGTAGCCCTCATTTAATGACCATTCATTCAGTGACTGTTGGAAGTTATGGTAGCACTGAATGAATCAAAGTTACAGCTGATACAAGTCATGTGATCAAAATTCAGGCAGTCTGCTTACATTTATGACCACACAGTTGCTTCAATTCCCCCCACCCATCTCCTCATTTCTTTCTCCTATTGGCTGCCCTGCAGAGTGGCACACTTTGGTGGTAAAGGTGGCAGCAGCACTAGGGCTGAGGTAGACGCCTATGGCCTTCAGCAGTCACATGCCTAGGCCTCTATTTCAGCCATCAGCACACTAGGTAATGTTACCTCAAGCCCCATGCTACCTCAAGCCCTGGCCACTCTATCTCTACTATGCAAGGACTTCGCTGCCCCTGCTGTCTTTGCTCCATTGGCCCTCTCGTGACTTCTGCCATCTTCTTCCAATGCTGATAAAGCATATCTGGCCTGGACCTCTGTATGCCAGATCTTCTCCCCAAGGCCATGTCCCCTTCTTGTGATTCTTTGGAGATCCTCCAAAACCTCATCTCGTCTTTTTAAAATCTTGTGTGCTTTTCTTCAAATCATGCAAATTTGCAATGCTTTGGAAGGTGGCTAGCTGCAGAACAGGACTTGAGGTGACACTCCTTGGTGGCAGTGTTGGTACCGGAGTTGAAGTAGAGGCCTAGGGACAGCAGCAGCCAGCTGCTGAAGGCCTCAGGCTTCTACTACAACCCCAGCACCACTGCTGCCACAGTGTGCTGTTTTCAGGATAGCCAAAACAGCAGAGATAGGCTCTATCCCCAGAGATGGGGAGAGTGGAAGCAAAATCTGTAAGTAGACAGTAAGATACTGGAAACAGTTTATCAAGTACTGTAATTAGGTCAAACTTACTAAAGAACGTTCAGGCTGAAGTTTAAGAGAGGTTGGAATTTTAGGATCTGAACTGATTGATGTGATTCTGACAGCAGCATGCATTTCTATATGTAGCTTCTTTCTCAACTGTTCAGGTATCTGAAATACAAAATAAAAATCACAGTTCCTTCTTTAATATAGAAAAACTTTAATCCTTCATAAGATGTAGTCACTGATATAGTAATGAGGTTGTGTAGAATCACTTAGGTGAGATGATTAGAATAGAAATTTGAGAAATAAATTAAGACAACTTAAGATTTCGAAGCTATTCAAAGACTATAATTGTAGTTAAAATATTAATAGCTTTCTCAATTCTCTCAAGGAAAAAAAGGATTCCTTGCATGGTATCTTTCACCATCATTGATTTATTTGATCTGGTTTAATGATTTGTATCCCACCTTTATTATTTTACAAATAACTCAAGGTGGTGAACGTACCCAACACACCTTTTTCCTATTTTCCCTCAACATCAACCCTGTGAAGTGGGTTGGGTTGAGAGGCAGCGGCTGGTCCAAAGTCTGCCAGCTGGCTTTTGTAGCTAAGACTTGAACTCACAGTCTCCAGCTTCTCTAACCTTGTGCCTTTACCAAACTGGCTCTCACATTATTTATAGCGATAATATTAACTTGTAACCGTATTTTTGCAGCAGAAATATTGCTTAGTGAAGCAAAACAAAAAAATACACTAATTTTTGTTTTGCTATTTTAATCCATTTTAACAACTTGATTTAGGAAGGTACATAAATATTTGAAGTAAATAAAGCAAACTAAATTAGTAGTTTTTAAACTGAAATTATTTGAATTATTTAAAGTTGGATTAGGATATAATGCTAACTACAAAAGAACCATCTTAAACATTATAGTTTGGAGATTGTTGCCCAGCACTTAACCACATTTTTTTGAATAAGCACTAAAATTTAATACAGCTTAGTTTTTAGATAAAATATTTTATTCTCCAATGTTAATCAGTCAACAACTCATCAAAAATTGATTTAAAATGCTAATGAGCCTAATAGTCATAAATTTCACTAACCCAAATTCTTCCAACATGCAGTTGCTCCACATTGTTATTGAATATTATGGCATCCTTTAGATCCTCAAAGCCATTCCATATTATTTGCACAACAGAAAACTCATTAGATTCTTGACCCTTACTCAAAGTAAATTGCTTTTGGTCTTCTGTATTAGACAGATGTTTCTCTTTCCTTGATGTTAGATGATACTTCAACTCTTGCATCTGCTGTTTTGGAGAAAGTAGTTTACTAATTTTCCCATAAGAGACTTGAGTATTAGCTTCTAAAGCAGAAAATACTTCATTCCATGGAAAAACAAAGACGGTGTTGCATTCCTGAAATGTGCATGTTTCCAGTGTATTTTTCATACTGGGAAGCTGCCTCTGACATACTCTGAAAACAGAATCCACCTGAATCAAGTTTAACAGACGATTTTTAGCAGCGTTCAATTCATCAATACCATTAGAAGGCTCGTGTTTCTTTTCAGAATTATAAAAGAAAATGTTCCCGAGTAAATTCCAAATGTTTGGGAAAATATTTGTACTCTGCGATCCCTTTGTGTTTGGTTGATGCTGCTGAAATTGGTTATTTAAATGTGTTTCTTTGGAATATGGTTCCTCATTTTTTTCCCTTGGTTTTAATTCGGTTTCAGGGACATCTTCCTGCATAATGTCATCTTTCGGGGAAAGCAACATGGCAGAACTACCTTCATACTGTCGTAATTTAGGAGATACAAGAAGCTCTGTGCAAGCTTCAAGTCTTCCATAAAGAGCTGGGGGTTTTAGAGTAACTAAAATATAAAACAGAAATGTTAATATACATATAAAACTTATAATTATCTCTCCAAATCTGATCAAATCTTGCATAACCACTTACCAATCCGGATATAGATACAAGTATGTTGCTCAACCCACACTGGGAAGACAGCTTTTGGAAATACTATTCGAATTTGATTAAGAAGATGCCTTTCCAGGGACAATGCATGCAGCTCCTAAAATCATTTTACAGAATGTTAAAAAAAATCTGATTTTGACTGAGAAGATTGTAACAAATTGAAGACACAAAAATGGTTTTAACAAATAAAACTGCATGTTTAGTTAATGGGGTGAAAAAATAAATATTATATAAAAATGCTTTAATTACCAGTATTTCCCAATCATCTGCTGAAATTGGTTCTACTTCTACTTGTTGACAGGATAAAACCTGAGAACAGGGTTCAAGGAATACCTGGCAGATAAGAAACCTAATTAAATTGCTTTCAATATTTTCACAAACAGACCACTGAAAATAATTCTAAACAAGAAAAGAAAATCTGACGTAAGAATCACATGGTTGCTGATCTGTACTGGCAACATTTTCCAAAATACATTTTGACTATATAATTAGTGTTATTTATTCCCTTTGGCAACATAAAAGTTATTTTTAGCATCCACAAATAAATACATGGTATTTTATTCAATACTGACAGTAACAAAAGTAAACAGTTTGAGAACAATGTTAGTATGTGCAAACTTTTATTTGTTGACCTACTGAATGACTCACTGAATCCTAAGCAAAAATATTCTAATATTTTATTTTATTTATTAAATTTAAATACCAGCCATCTTGCCTAGAGGCAACTGTAAGTGGTTTACTAAAATAAAATATTAAAACAGTAACTATTAACACTAAAATTCATTTAGAAAATGACAAAGATGAGAAGGAAGGGAACTAGATGCAATGGTGAGGAGTTGGGGTCCTCTTAATCCATTAACCATCTCCAGAATGACATGTCCCCATTGGGGAGTCAGGCAGTTGGCAGAGGCAGGTCTTCAAGCTCTTTCAGAAAGCCAAAAGGGTGGGTGCAGATCTCACCTCGGGGGCCACAATACTGGGCAGGCATAAGTGATGAATTGAAAATAATTCAATATAAAGTTAGTTCTTAACTTTCCACTGGTTGCTTAGCAGCTGTTCAGAGTTACAGCAGACCATCCAAAAGCTACTGACATCCCAGTTCCAAAGTTACAATCGCTGCAGTACCCTAAAGTCATTCATTCTTATGACACAATATAGGGGCATTGCAGGAGTCCCCCTGTTTATTTCCTCACCCTGGGTCCCTGTGGGCCTGCTTCCCATAGCACCATGCCTTACAGCCTCTTCATTTATTCTCTGAAAATCTGAAAAGCGTTGGGCTTGGGTTAGGAAAGGTTGTTCTTCTCCTAGCCTGCGTAGTGTGGTCCCGGAAGCAGCCACCTTTTTCTGGTCAGCTGCATCGAATTGTGGCTACCCTAAAAATGATGGCCATTTCCAGGATTGTGCCACATGGTCCAGAAACGAATAGGCGTGTTCTGCTTACCTAACATGAGCTCTGACCCAGTGCGGAGCTTTTCAAAACTTGTACTAGAGAATTATACCAGAAATGTACAATAAAGAATTGAAATATTTGATTGTAAATGTTTTAACAGTGGCTAGGAATGTATTTGCTAAGAATTGGAAAAATGAAAAAATACCTATGCAGGAGGAAGTTATTAAGAAAATTACAGACTGTGCTGAAATGAGTAAATTGACATTTGAAATTAGAGAACAAGAAGATAAACAATTTTACATGATATGGGATTTGTTTTATCAATGGTTGGATAAAAAGACATATTAATGTAATAGACTAGGAAATCTTGTAATAGAAGTTTAATAGATCGATATAAAATATAATACAGATATACTGTATATAACTATTGGATGAAAGTACAATATAAATTCCATAATAAAATCTAGAATATCTCGTATAAAATGATGGAATAAATAGTTCAGTCATGAATGATTAATAACTGATAAATATATAAGCATATGTTAGTTTGACAATGTGGGAATTTATATAAACTGAGTATGAAAGTTTGACAATGTGGGAATTTATATAAACTGTGAGTAATGAGTATGAAAGGATAGCACAAAAGATTTGTAACCAACTGACACACTGTATGTATATAAACTGGAAGATGGGTTTATGTTTTTATGTTTTGTTTGTATGTTTGTCTTAAAAAATATTTTTTATATAATAAAAAAAAAACATGTAATAGAGGAACAGTACAAGCCTCTTTGCACTTGGGGCGTGTGGTGTTAAGTAGTTGCCATTTACAGAGCCTCCATAATTCAATGAGGCTGTCCAGAAAATAGAGTCCACTTCTAGGATCAAACGATATTGCCCAGTCCCTCATGTCAAGTGTTAATACCACTTTATAATGCCTTGGTAAAACTACACTTGGGATATTGCTTCCAGTTTGGGTCACCACGATATAAAAAAATATGTTGAGACTCCACAAAGAGTGCAGAGAAGAGCAAGAAAGATGATTAGAGGACTGAAGGCTAAAACATATGAAGAACAGTTGCAGGCATTGGGTATGACTAGTTTAATGAAAAGAAGGACTAGGGGAGACATGATAGCAGTGTTCCAATATCTAAAAAGTTGCCATAAAGAAGAGGGGGTCAAACTATTCTCCAAAGGCAGGACAAGAAGCAATGGATGGAAACTAATCAAACAGAGAACCAACTTAGAACTAAGAAGGAATCTGACAATTGGAACAATTAATCAGTGGAACAAGTTGTCAGTGCTGCAACACTGGAGGTTTTTAAGATGAGATTGGACAACCATTTGTCTGAAATGGTTTAGGGTTTCCAGCTTGGATTAGAAGGTCCCTTCCAATTCTTCTTTTCAGAATGAAGAGGCCTGCTCTGCTTCCCTAATGCAAACTCTGGAAAGTTCCCTGTCCATCACATCTGAAGCTCATGTTAAAGAAGCAGGGGAAACCATTCCATTCCTAGGCTGTGTGGTGTGATCCCAAAAATGAACGTCATTTTCAGAGCACCCACAATTAATCCCAAGCTGCTTTTAGGATTGTGCCACATAGTCCAGGAGCAGAGCTGCTTACCCTCCTTCCTCCTCCTAAACCAAGCTCCAGAGATCTTTGAAAGGTAAGTGCACAATGAATGACATGGGGTAACAAGGTTGTGGGGCATGGTGGGGCATTAAGTAGACACAAAGCCTGCAGGGATACTAAGGGGTGGGAAGTGGCAAACAGAGTGCCTAAGGGGATGGGGGGAGTTTGGAGAGGTCCAGGGCAGGACCTTTGCCAGGCCTCCTGGGGCTCCCCAGGGTGCCTTAGGGACCCTATGCTTCATTAAACAACTTGCATATTCATTTAATGGCTGCATTGGAAAAAAGAAATGAGGCGATTGCATAGGCACTTCATTTAATGACTCTCATGACTTCTGAAGGTTTCATTATAGTCTTCGACCTGTATTATTTCTGCATGCTTCTATCAAGCAATATTCTTTGTTGTGTCAGTTCTTTGTTTGTGCATCATGCCTGCATATCCCATAAGAAATGCACTTGATGTATTTGTGTTTTGCAGGTGCAAAGCAAATAAATTAATGGAGAATATTCAGCAATCATTTCAAAAGTTAATTATGTCATTTGAAATATGTTTGCTAGGTCTTGGTATTTTATTAAGCATTAGACAATTTGATAATTTAAAATTCAAATTCTGAAACTAATAACTGATATGTATCAACTTCATATCCTACTCTAAGTATACAAATAGAAGATTGCATTTCAAACCTGTTGTCCATCTTTGATGCCAAGCTTGCCTGCCAAGTGTCTATTTATTTCAACAATATTTTCTTCTGTTTGACGATAACGTCTGATTTCCATCCAACCCAAGAATACTGGTTGATTACCCCAAGATGCTTTCACAACTTGATCCTATGAATTTAAAAAATAAATAAATTTATATTAAATGAACAGGGGATATTTCATGTAAGTGGACAAATAGATACATACAGACCAGGTCCAAGCAAAAGTGGGATCTTTTTTTTATAAAATTAGGGTGTTCTGGTCTGATAAATTCAATACTCCAGATATTGAGGAATTCCTTTAGGTATCAATTTGAAGGCTGCAATCAAATTGGTATAACAAAAGATTTCTTTTTCTAGAAGTGTTCAAATTTGATTTATAAGTCTTGCATTTTGTAATTTTCTCCATTGTTTTTCCTCAATCCTAGCATCATCTAGTATAGCAACATCAAAGAATCAGACTATTTTCTTTTCAATAACTATTAAATCAGGTATCTATCAACAAGATGCTTGTCAATTTGGATCGTAAAATCCCATAAGATCATAACCCACTTATTATTCTTCGTATTTTATCCCGACTTTTAAACACGTAACTCTAACACACCCTCCTCCTCTGATTTTCTTGCAACAGCAACATTATGGCACTTGGTTAGGCTAACAGTAACTGGCTCAATCAATCAATCAAGCCCTCTATTTATAAAATACTCAGAATTTGAATTTTATATTTTATACTATTATTTTTTAAAATATTTTTTCTGCTTTTATGGATTAATAGAATTTATGCTGCTCATTTTTCAGCCTTGTACACATAAGCATAAATACTACATCATATAGTATAGCACTTGCACATTTTACGTCTTGGAAGCACAAATAGTACATCACATTTTGCTAGTGTATGGTTTCAGATTATTTAATTTTGGCTTTGCCAGCTTCAGCCTTTACAAGACCAGTTCCAATTGACAGTGATCTGGAAAGGGAGCAGGCTTTTGGAAGATCCGAAGACCTGGCACTTCCCACAAGCACTAAACTAGGGTGGACCAATGTTTTAAGAGTATTTGCAGTTAATACAGAACTCCCCTCCCCTCCCTCTGATAATTATCACACTGACATAAGATACCATCTCATGGATATTAGAAGGTATTTTTCCAAATTCTAAAAAAAACCCTAATTCTTAACAGTGACACTGGGGAGGGGGGAATCCACAGGTCTAACAGGAAAAAAAAAGATAAAGTATAATACATCAGATTTAAAACACCTATTCCTTTAATAGCTGCAGAAAGATGCAATTCATTTCAGATTATTCTGAATATTGCAACGCTTGAAAAATAATATAGCAATGAAACAGCACCTTCCCCTTCATGACATTCTGTGTCAAATGCCAGTAATCCCCAGTGGGCGGCAGCATCTACTATTGGCAAATTTCGAAAACAAAATGCTCAGCAAGATCAGGTGAATGCTTAGCTAGCTGGGACAGCACCAAGATATCCTATGTCAGGTGACATTGAATATCCTCAGAAAAAAAGACAATAACGTTATCATTTCTGTAGAATAGCCAAGAAACCTCTGCAAGGCACAGCTGCAAATCTCCTTTTCGTCTGGAGCGAATAAACTGCTTTTACTTAGGGTAGCTAATGAAGAGGATAAGGGGGTTGGATGAGAAGACGGCCAAAGGTCCCGTCTCTTATTCTGATCAGTTAACCTTTTGATATTATCCGGAGGCTGGCAAGAGCCCCCTTCTATGGCTCGTTTAAGGTGCCAACAGTCCGTGCTTGGATATGGAAAGGTGTTGCTGAGGAAAAGTATGCTGTAACTGTGAATGGACACTTCAACCTTATAATCACCGGACACAGAGCGATCGGAGGTCGGTAGCCACCTTCCTGAATCCCTTGTACCTGCTGCAGTCGGAGGTAGGAAACCAGCCCAGGCGGCAAGTGCAGAAAGCAGTTCTTGACACCGCTCAAGGAGATGCTCGCCGCGGCTATCCCGAAGCCTCCTGCCCCCAACATCACCGCCGACCCTCCGACCATCCACGGCCAGGTACCGTCTTAAAGACAAAACTACAGAAAGTCGCGACTTTTGACCGTCACCAGATTGGCGGAACGATTTGCCCCGGCTTCTGGCTCCGTACCTTGCTACCTTTTCAGGTAGCCTTAACGGTCATTGGAGGCCCAGCCGTTTTTCTCCGCTTGTGATTGGATAATGGTGCCACGGCTCCGCCTCGTTCCCTCGCCGCGTTCTTCATCGACTTCTTTCCGCCTTTCCTTGGAGAGGCCGCCGGTACTGGCGGCCGGGGGGGGGGGGGGGGAAACTGGTGTGTGTATGTGTGTGTGGAGGGGAGAAAAAAAAAAGACTTCGATGACGTTTTGAAGAGGCGACAAGACAGTACGGAGGCTAAGATGGCGGCGGTTGATGCTGGCGAGGAGGAAGTCGGTGGCGTCTGCCAGCACCACGCACAGCGGACGATCTGCGCATCGCGCGCCAAGTATCGTGAAGGGCGCAGGCCACGAGCAGTGAAGGTAAAGGAGAAACAGTTCTCCCTTGAGCCGTTTCCTCTTCTTTTCAGATCCGCTCTCGGATACAGATTTGGGTGGTGGTGATGATGATGATGTTCATCCATCGTGTTCGAAGAGGGCCTTGACCTCTAACGGGTTGTGGGCTGTCCACGGCGTGGCCGCAGGTGGCTGATAAGGCCTACCCGGGCTTGTCCTGCCACATGTCGGCCATTCACGTGTGGGCACCATTGCTGCAGCATTTGCAACTGTGGCTCTGTGGAGTGCTCGCTTCTCTTGTGCTATGGCTGTGGTGGCTAACCCTTTTCGGCTCCCATGCCAATAATTGCATGCGTGCTCGTGTGCTCGCACTTGCGTGCCAGCACCCAGAAGGCAATGCATGTTGGCCCCTCCCATGCCCCCTGCGCATGTGAGTGAGACCCCATGCACGCTGCATGTCTCTGCGTGTGCGTCTCCCACGAGTCCCATACACAATGTGCACAAGCTAGCCAACAATCAGCTGTCAGGTGGCGTCGCACGTGCATGCGCAATGGGCCTCTTGGGCGACTTCTCACGTGCTGGCAGAAGTGGCTTTGTGTGCCACTTCTGCCATGTGTACCGTAGGTTCGCCAACACAGTGCTATGGGGTTGTTCTTCTCTCTTCAAATATATGGCAGCCTAGGTGGATCGACACGTGCCATGAAGATCGGTCTAGTGCTAGGGTTTCCCAGGAGGTGGTGTCAATATCCAGGGACTTGAAAGAGGCTTTCAAAGGGTTTTTCTATGGCTTCCTTTGGGTCCCCCCCCCCCCCCATGCGATCACTTTCCTTGAGACAGCTCACCATAGAGAAACTGTTTAGGGATGTGGTGGTCTGGCATCCTTACAACATGGCCTGCCCAGCATGTCTGGGCAGGGTGTGAACTGACGGTAGGCCTGCTCTGGAGAGGACTTCTGTGTCTGGCACTTTGTCCTGCCATCAGATCCTCAGAACTCTGCGGAGGCAGGTTGTGTGGAAGTGGTTCAATTGCCTAGCATGCCTCCTGTATACAATCCAAGCAGTAGTGCTGACTACCCTGCTGTATGCCAGTGAGACTTGATACTTTGTTGAGATCTCCATAAGAAGCCTACAAGCCGGATAAAAGCAAATCTGCCCTTCCTTCCCCCACCTCCTTTTTTGTTTGCATATACACTCACAGCACCTAAACAGGAAATAGAGAAGAGTGGAATAAAATAATACAGTTGGGACCTTGGAGGACTTCTAGTCCAACGCCAAGAGACCTTACATCCCTGATGGTGAACCTATGACATGCGTGCCAAAGGTGGCACGCAAAGCCCTCTCTCTGGGCATGTAAGCCGTCACCCCAGCTCAGCTCTGCTGTGCATGTGCACGTGCCTCCCACCGGTCAGCTGATCTTCGGGTCTCTGCTGTGCATGCATGGAGAGCGGAGTGCGAGCACATTGCATTTTGGGGGTGCGCGTGCGCACTTTGGGCACTTGGTGCCGAAAAGGTAGCCATCACTGCCTTATACTATTTCAGACAATCTGAAATGTCCAGTCTCTTCTTTAAAAATGATGGAGCTCCCACAACTTCTGAAGGCAAGCTGATCCACTGATTAATGTTCTCACTGTCAGGAAATTTCTCTTTATTTTTTAGCTTGGATCTCTTCTTGATAGCTTTCCATCTGTTATTTTTTTTGTCCAGCCCTCAGGTACTTCAGAAGATAGGTTGATCCCCTTTTCTTTGTGATAATCTCTTGGATATTCGATGGCTTTTATCATGTAATTTCTCTTCATTAAACTGGCATAGCCAGTTCCTGCAACTGTTCTTCATGTGTATTTCATCTGCACTTTCTAGTATGTCATCTTTTTTGTTTCATGGCAACTGTAACTGGGTGCAGTATTTCAAGTGTGGTGTTACCAAGGCGTTATAGTTGTAGTAACACTTCACTTGATCTTGTTTCTATCCCTCTGTTAATGCAACCCAGGATTGCACTGCCTTTTTTGGCAGCTGCAGCATACTACTGGCTCATATTTAAGTGGTTGTCCACTAGGACTTTTAGACCCCTCTTGCAGTTATTACTAAGGCATGACCTACCTTTTAGCCAGCAGGGTTTGGTTTCATGGAAGATATTTTTTTACAGAATGGAGGGGTAGGAGGACCATGCAACCTAGATCCTTAGCATACAGTTTCACTTGCCCACCGTTAACCTCCAGCTGTGCGACCCACTTCCTCACAGGCCATGGACAGTACTGGTCCATCGACTAGGGGTTGGGAACCCCTCTTCTAAAGTGTTGGCTATTCCCGCCAGCTTGGTATCATCTGCAAATTTGATGAGTTCACCTTGTTTATCAATTTTATCAAATCACTGAAGAGTACTGAACCTAAGACAGAATCTTGAGGTACCTCACTGCATATTTCCCTCCATGTAAAGACAGGTTCTTAAGGACTACACTGTTGAGTGAATCAGCTAGTTGTAAATCCTCTGGTGGTGATGCTGTCTATATTCCACATTTTTCTGTCTTACTAATTCGTAGTTGTGGTTCATTTTGTCAAATGCTTATTGAATCTAAGTATCCTCTGAAAACGGAAGTTGTGTTTAGTTGTTACAACTGAGGTTTCCTGATAAGACATTTGTCAGTTTTCTCCTTAAACCATCATGTATAATTGTTGGGATCTCTACAGGGGTTAGATCCTTCTTGAATTGTTGAGCACTATGCCAGTTTACTGACCCAAATAGAAGTAGTAGTCTTTTGAATGATCAAATGTATCTCCGGTTTTACCACTTTAATCTTCACTATGCTTCCTATCTTGTGAAATTTCTACTATATGTTAATGTCCAAGGGAAATTTTGAACAGTAATTTTCAGGGCCATGACTAGCTATAAGCCATGGTTATTGCTGGTCTGATGTTCCTCTTGAATATAGTTTTTGAAGTATTCAAGGTAGTAGCTAATTGTATTTTGCCCAAATGCTATGAGTTTAGAATCATTTAGAATCCTTGCTATAATACAGTTAATACTGATATCTTTCTTCCTATATTGTATGTAAGACTTAGCTATCTTTAATTTCTGAGCTTAGCTATATTCTGTTACCCCCTACTGATGATGTTTTTTCCACTAACTTTTAAAATTTTCATTTTACCTGATATTAGTTTCCTTTTTCCCTTCATTTGCTTGGTTTGTTTTTACTCTGTAACTTGTATTGTTACGTTTATTTGGTCTTACAGTATTAATAAAATGTAATGTATCAAAAATATGATTGTCTAGATTTATTCATCAAACTAAGCCATAACCAAACAACATGTAGTCCTTAATTAACAACCATTTGTGCCATGCCCGTCAGAGAAAAAGACCCTGATTCCCTTCATTAGCTGCAGGAAAGCTCACAGCAACTTGTGGGAAGCAAATCTGAGTTATCTTTTATTGTTGAGGCTTATCTGGGTTCCTGGCGTCTTCCCAACTGTGTGGGTTTTGTTGGCCTTTGAAGTCGGCAATTCCTTATCCTGCCCTGTCCAGTTAATTGCTGCAGTGCGGTTTGTGTGAATTTTTATTTACAATTTATATGTACTTTGTTTTTGGACTGAATTTCCTCCACTTAAAGACTGTTCTTGGGAGAGTTTTTTTCTCCTGCCGAAGGTAACTGGACATTGGGGGCAAAGTTGGAGGTATTAAAAGGACTTTTCTTACTTATGTGACTGTGTTGCCTTTGTGCCATGCCCCTGGTCATCACAATTTCCATAGCAACCATTCCAAGTTATAACAGCTCTGAAAAATGTTGCTTATGACTGATCCTCATTATAACCATCATAGCATCTCCACAGACCCATAATCAAAATTTGATTGCTTGGTAACTGGCATGTATTTATTGACTGCATCGTTCCAGGGTCATGTGATTGCCATTTGTGACCTTCCCAGTCAGCTTCTGACAAGAAAGTCAATGTGGGAGGCCAGGTTTGCATTAATGGCTATGATTCATTTAACAACTTCATCATTAATAACTGTGGCACATAGAATTACCTGTGGCAATTCACTTAAAAACTGCCTTACTTAGCAATGGAAATTCTGGTCCAATTTGTATTCACAGGTAGAGGACTCCCATTGACGAACTTGATCACTAATGCTAAAATATCTAACTTCTGACACATTCTTTTAAGATTGTTATTCTGTATTACTGTAAACAATTAATTTTAAAATAGAACAGCTCACTTATATATATTAAAGTGTTATTAAAGTGATTTTGTTTTTCAGGTTTACACTGTCAATTTAGAGTCTCGATATTTGTTAATCCAAGGTGTTCCTGCATTGGGAGTTATGAAGGAGCTAATTGAACTTTTTGCATTATATGGTACCATCGAGGAATATAATCCACTAGATGGTTATCCAGCAGAAGAATTTACTGAAGTGTACTTGATCAAGTTTTTAAAAATACCAAGTTCAAGGTAATAACCATTGCTTTTGTTCTTCCTAGAATCCCTACTTGTTTGATATTGAAACATCTTTCATATATCAGTTTTATGTAAACCACAACAGTTATTTTTATATTGTGAAAACTTAACTTACTGGATTTAACTTCAACATGATTGAATTGTTTTAGTATTGTGTATCACTTTCTCTCTTTTAGGGCAGCCAAAAGAAAACTGGATGAGCGGAATTTCTTTGGCAGTTTGCTACATATATGCTATGCTCCAGAATTTGAGAGTGTCCAAGAGACCAGAGCCAAATTAAGAGACAGACGAAAATATATAGCAAAAGCAACCAATTTCAAAGGTTTGTGGCTTTTATTTTAAATCAGTAAAAGGCAAGAGCAAACAACTTTTGTAATTCCCCCCAAAAATCCAATATTCATTTGCCAAAGATTTTATCAGAAGTCAAACTCAATCCATTGAGGACTTTACACTTACTGTTTGAAAAGTTATATTTTTTCTTTTTATATTCTCATTAAGAACCTCTCTTGCATTATTTCAAATCTAAATAGCTTGGCATGGAAAAAAGGATGGGAGCAAACAAAAAAAACTGTGTCTGCAGAATTTACTTTGAATTAGATGTAATTAATTTTCATTTTTTTCTTAGTTCATGTATTTAATTTATTTTGCTTATTATTCCATTGTACATTTTTGCACAACTCCAAAACACCCCCCAAATGGTGAATATTTATGTAATTTATTAGAATATTCCTTTACGTTGAAAATAAATATAGAATCATCACATCCAAAGCATAGCAGAACAATGCTTTGGAAGGAACTGTCAGCTAATACATTAAACCAATTTTTTCACTGCTCATCAAATAAAGCCTGTTCTCTACCATGGCAAATTGTTAACAAAATTAAAATTCACTTCAGAAATGCCTTTTTTACTATGCACCAACATAACACATTATCTTTTGTGTTTTGAGAGCAATCATTGGAGACAAAACAGGATTGTGGTATACGTTCTTCAAAGATCATGCCGTTGGATCGTGGATCATGGACATCTGAAAGAGCCATTAGCAAATGGAATCCAGCAACATATACACAGGACCCCCGTCAATCTTCCTGTTGCACATTATTACTGAAGCATATTACATCTCCCGCAGAACAGCATTGCCAGAATCTGTTAGTAGCCCCTCACTATTCTGATGATCATGCTACAGTATCTGCATGCTTTAGCCAAAGCATGCAGGTGAGTAAGAAGCCACAGCAAAGAGAACATGACACATTGGCTTGCTGGAACCTAGAAAGAAAAGATCCATCTTATGAAGGTCTTGGAAGATTCATGCCCCGAACTACACAACTTCAGGAACGAAAGAGGAGAAGAGATGAAGACAACAAACTTGCCCTTTTGGGAAGAGAGCCTAATGGTGAAGAAATCATTTTTGGCCCAAGGCTACCAGAAATACCTAAAATAGATATGGATGATGATTCACTGAATACCTCGGCAATCTTAATTCGTAATAGACTAAAGAAGGTGGGCCAATAATTTTTCATTCAATGTTCTGAAAATATGTAGTTCTAACATCATTTAGAATTTGTACATATTAATTATTTTGCAATAGCTTAATCCCTTTTATTCCATTATAAATGCATATCATATACTAACTTTTGATTCCTTTTTTCAAACTAGATTGCTGATCCAGTTCAAACTTCAAACTCATCTGAAGAATTATTAGTGGAAAATCAAATAAAACCAGTAATAAAGCAGAGGCGGCGTATATAAGTATTTCTGATTGTATGTTACGTTTATATTTGATTCACAAACAGGTAGGCTCTGACTGTTTCTAGACAAAGAAATATTGCTTCATTTGCTAACATGAAGCAGTTCTTGTAAAATTTAAAGTTATTATCCATTATGTTGAAATGTATTGATGTCTGTGAATGTTATCACCTTATTTCTTGTGCTTCTAATGCTATCCTATGATAGCATTGGGTCTACCCAGCTATATTACATTTCATTCATTATATTTTACTTGCAGATCTACAACTCGGGAGCATCTTGGAAAGCCTGTGACTCAAAGGACATCCTGCACTGTAAAGGAAATAATAAACATTTTTTTAAAAAAGCTATAACAAACTTATGTCCAAAGAACAATGGAAATGCTTAACTAAATACTAAAATTAGGTTCAATACCCCACTTTTAAGTAGCAAATTTTAAGAGCCTGTTTGGTGTCATAATTAAAATATTAGCCTAGAAACCAAGAGGCTCGTGAGTTTTAAGTTTGCCTTCGGCATGAATGATGAGCCTCTGTGGCGCAGTGATTAGAGTGCAATACTGCAGGCTACTTCTGCTTCAGCCGGCTGCCTACAATTTCGCAGATCGAATACCATCAGGCTCAAGGTTGACTCAGCCTTCCATCCTTCTGAGGTGGGTAAAATGAGGACCCAGATTGTTGGAGGCAATAGGCTGACTCTGTACACCGCTTAGGGCTGTAAAGCACTATAAAGCGGTATATAAGTCTAAGTGCTATTGCTATTTCTCTGGACCAGTCACTTTCAGCCCAACCCCCCTCACAGGGTTAAACCTGTGGGGAAAATACAAGCCAGGAATATTAGGCTTATTTGCCCCCTTGTATTTTATATAAAGAGATGTAATAATCATGTTATGTCACAATTTATTAAAATTATTTGCCAAATTTCTGCTTTTTGAGAAATAAAAAATAAAAGCCTTCCCTAACTATGTGAAGCTAGTTGCATCATTCTCTGGGTCTTTACTGTACGTCAATATTTTCGTTTCATATAATGCTCTGTTCCATTATCAAATAGTTCATAAACATAAAAGACATTTATTTTGAAACACTTTACAGAACATTTTACAGAAATGCATGTAGTTAGGAAGTTTATATAACAATTAGACATTAATATATCTGCAATAAAATGTTTTTTAATTGCATTAATTCAAAAATTCATTACAAGAAATTTATTGTAAGAGTTCCTACACCATAAGTCATCACATTACTACCGTGTTTCTCCAACAATACGGCCTCCACCAATAGGAAGGCCCAGCATGTTTTTTGGGCATAAAATCAAATTAAGCCCCTCCCCCCAAATTTAGGCCTATTTTAAAATATGCAAAATAAGGGGGAAGAGTGGGGAGACTTGCCGTTAGGAGCGCCCGGAATTCCTCGCCACCAGCCGCTCCTAACGGGCGATCATGGCCAAGCACAGAGAGCTCCCTACTCCCACCTTTGCTGCAGACACCTTTGGCACCCGCCGCTGTTGCTTTCCCTTCTGCCCATTACGCCACCACGTTTGGAGCTGCCGCTTCCGTGTTTGGAGTGCCGTCGCCATTTGGAGCTCCAAACGCGGAAGTGGCAGCTCCAAACATGACGGCGGGCGATCTTTTTATTTTGGTCCGCGCGAAGTTCAAAGCGAGCAAGAGAGGGAGACTGCGATGCCTCCATCCGAGATGGCAACCTCACTAGTGGATCACAACGTGGCTGGAAGCCCGAATCGGCGGGATACGATGGCGATCTTTTTGGAGCGAGAGGAAAGGGAGAGAAGAGTTGCGAGGCGTAATTTGCAGGAGGAAGTGGGTGTACCCCACGGCAGGGAGCCCAAGGAAGAAGGGCCGGTAGGCAATGGAGAGCGTCCCGAAGCTCCGGAAGCAGCCTAGAGACGCGCCCGGGAAGAGGCGCAGATGCTGCCTTGTAGTCCCCAAGCCAACTGCGTGTGCCGCCTTTAGTTATGTGCGCTCCGCGCTTTGGGCATCTCCGTGTGATCGCGACCCTGTCCTTTCCACCTGGCGCCCTTGCTGCTTTCTGGCTCTTTAGCAACCGGCTTCGTGTTTGGAGCACTGCCGCTGTTTGGAGCTCCAAACGGCGGCGGAAGCTCCAAACGGCGGTGGAAGCTCCAAATGCGGAAGCTCCAAATATGACGGTGGGCGATCTTTTTATTTTGGTCCGCGCGAAGTTCAGAGCGAGCATGAGAGGGAGACCGATGCCTTGCTAAAGAGCCAGAAAGCAGCAAGGGCGCCAGGTGGAAAGGACAGGGTCGCGATCACACGGAGATGCCCAAAGCGCGGAGCGCACATAACTAAAGGCGGCGCACGCAGTTGGCTTGGGGACTACAAGGCAGCATCTGCGCCTCTTCCCGGGCGCGTCTCTAGGCTGCTTCCGGAGCTACGGGACGCTCTCCGTTGCCTACCGGCCCTTCTTCCTTGGGCTCTCTGCCGTGGGGTACACCTACTTCCTCCTGCAAATTACGCCTCGCAACTCTTCTCTCCCTTTCCTCTCGCTCCAAAAAGATCACCATCGTATCCTGCCGATTCGGGCTTCCAGCCACGTTGTGATCCACTAGTGAGGTTGCCATCTCGGATGGAGGCATCGCAGTCTCCCTCTCTTGCTCGCTCTGAACTTCGCGCGGACCAAAATAAAAAGATCGCCCGCCGTCATGTTTGGAGCTGCCACTTCCGCGTTTGGAGCTCCAAATGGCGGCGGCACTCCAAACACGGAAGCGGCAGCTCCAAATGTGGCAGCAGAATGGGCAGAAGGGAAAGCAACAGCGGCGGGTGCCAAAGGTGTCTGCAGCAAAGGTGGGAGTAGGGAGCTCTCTGTGCTTGGCCATGATCGCCCGTTAGGAGCGGCTTTTGGCGAGGATGCAAGGGGGGGAATTAAGTCACCCCCCGAAAAGACGGCCTAGCCGTTTTTTCGGGGCTCAAAAAAAAATAAGGCCCGGCCTTATTATGTGAGAAACACGGTATTTGATGACATATTTTTCCAGAAGCGTCAAAAACCTAAATGAATGATTAAAATGGTCAACTTTACAACAGATTTATGTTTCTACAAGAGTACTGAGAATACTTGGGAATCTTTCATATTTTATACAAAACATAGGTATTCTATAAGAATTAATCCCCTATCCCTGGCCGCCAGAAACATGTCTGCCTTATAACCCTACTCTTGGTGAATCTTTAAGATGACATTTTCCTTAACAGTACACTCTGTGCACAATTATTAGGCAAGCTGTATTTTGAAGGATTAATTTTATCATTGAACAACTACAGTACTCTTGATCAATACAAAATGTTAATAAAGCTCAAACCTCTCCATCAATACAAAATGTTAATAAAGCTCAAACGTGAAGTTATGGCTTTCTTAGAAGAATATGTGTGCACAATTATTGGGCAACTATTAGTATACAGAATTATGCAACTAAATAAAAAATGAAAAATTTCCCATCTCATTTATTTTCATCTGTTAAAGTGAGAATAACACAGTTCAAAAAACAAATCAGTGACAATGTAGCCACCCTTCTTTTCAATAACAGTCATAAGCCTTCCATTCATGGAGTTTGTCAGTTTCTTGATCTGTTGACGATCATCTTTTTGTACAGCAGCAACTACAACCACAGACACTTCAGAGAGGTGTACCGTTTTTCTTCACCATAAATCTCCCGTTTAAAAAGGCCTACAAGTTCTCAACAGGATTTAGGTCAGGTGAGGAGGGGGGGGGGTGCATGTAATTATTCTCTCATCTTTAAGCCCTTTACAGGCTAGCCACGCAGTTGAATACTTTGATGCACAAATGGAACATTGTCCTGCATAAAAATAATGGATGTCTTGAAAGATGCAGACTTTTTCCTGTGCCGCTCCTTGAAGAAATGGTTTTCTAAAAACTGGCAGTAGGTTTGGGAGTTGATTTTGAGTCCATCTTCAACCCAAAAAGATCCAACTAGCCCATCCTTTATAATACCAGCCCATACCAGTACCCCACCCCCAACTTGCTGGCATCTGAGTCAAAGTGGAGCTCTTTGCCCGTTACTTATCTAGCCACAGACCCATCCATCCGTCAATAGTCACTTTCATCAGTCCATATAAAACCTTTGAAAAAAAATCTGTCTTCAGGCATTTCTTGGCCCAGTCTTGCCATTTCAACTTATGTGTCTTGTTCAGTGGTGGTCGAATTTCACCCTTCCTTACCTTGGCCATGTCTGAGCACTGAACATCTTGTACTTCTGGGCACTCCAAGTAGGTTGCAGTTCTGGAATATGACAGTACTGGAGGATAATGGGTTCTTGGTAGCTTCATGTTTGACTCTTCTCAAATCAGTTAAGGTGCGTCTTTTTTTCTCAACGTGTTTCTTGTGACCCTGTTTACTATTTGCAACAAAACATTCTGTAATCACGCCCCAATATCTTAGCAATTTCAAGAATGCTGCATCCATTTGAAAGACTACAATTTTTGACTTTTCAGAATCAGTTAAATCTCTTTTTAGCACATTTTGCCTGAGGAAAAGAAGCTGCCTAATAATTATGCACACCTTGATATAAGGTGTTGATCTTAGACAAAACCTTCACATATTACACAAATACACATCACCTGATTTGCTTATATGCATTAAGCATTTTAAGTTTATGGAGGTGGAAAATATGCATACAAAGGATGATATGGTCAAAATACTCACTTGCCTAATAATTGTGCACACAGTGTAAACTAGATAAGCTGTGATCCTTTGAGTCATCTTTTAAAGAGATTTTTCCTATGGTAAGAAATTCCTCAAAGTCTTCAACAATGACAGAAATTCTAATGCATTGCTTTCACTGGAAAAGTTGGATACATTCAGATGTTTGCCTTGAAAATAGCATGTGTTGAACTATATAACACAGACAAATATTATTACCAGAAATGTTTTATGACATTTTGTATTATGTCATAATCTGCTTTATGATAATTTTTGTATCATAAAATTTTGAAAGATTTGTCAAATTTCGATTCCACAGGAATCATATGTATTTTGGATGCATTTGAGGTACCTCAGTTCAAAAATTGTTGCCCTGTGATATACTGCTTCAGTCCAATTAAAGGTTATGGGAACAAGAATTTTAATAGCAAGTAAACAGATTATCTGGGAAAAATTAAATCTTCCTTTCAGATAAAAAGCATTTCACTGTTCAATATAGACTTTCATACTTGAATCTACCTGTAGCTCAATAAACTGATGGAGCCACTTTTAAAAGATAGAATTGTTCAGAAAAAAATAGAAAATAGTCTGTTCCAAAAAATTAGAAAAACAAATCCAAAACTTTTAGTTAAAATACCCAGAAGCTGGATACTGGTGATCTATATTCAGATTTGAGAAATATAATCTAAAGATAGAGCATAGCTAAGCTTAGCTCCTTAGTCCTGGGCTAAAGTTATTTTAGATCAGGGGGAAGACTTCAGTTAAAGCGTGCTGAAGGCTTGCTTTATCATCAACATTAAAAGTCTCCCATTGTATACATATATAATGATTTTGGTTAGCCTCATTTAGTGAACATGCAAAAAAAGCAGTTTAGTAATTTTAGTTTTGTACTTAGAACATTGTTCAAATCTAGAATAGAAATACAATTACTAATAAAATTACTAATTCATTACTAATATACTTTGATATAGACTTCATAAATACCTTCACATCAGGTAAACATGGTCCAAATGCTTCTAAAAGGAGATTTTCATCTCTTACCGCCCTTTCAAAATCCACAAAAGAGACTTTGCCATCATGATCATAGTCCTATAAAATAAGATATTTTAATCCATATAATCATTATATTTACACTATAGTGTTATATATAATCATTTGGAACTAAAATACAATTGGAATTAAATGTATGGTATTTTTTTTATTGGCATGCCAGTCAAATTTCATATAATTGCTACTGTACAAATTTATTTATTGAAAAAGATATTCTGGTATCGGTCCAGTCACTAATTTGGCATTGCTGATTAACCCAATAGATTGCCAAGATTATCTGTTTATTTACTCTGACTGATTTCATTTCTGCTTTTTTTTCATCCACTAGGGTATGAATGAAACCCAACTGAATTAATTGGATAGACTATTAGTATGATCTAAACCTGATAAGTTTTAAATTTATTATACTTGCCATTTTCTTCAGTGTTATTTCAACTAAATCTTTAATTCCTTCATCGGGATCTTCCTCAGATGGCTGTTTTAGCAGACTGTTCTTCAGCATATGAAACATTTCCTCTCGTGAAATATATCCATCACCATTCAGGTCATAAACCTCAAAGCAATCTTTAAAAGGTATAAACTACATTAACTGCATGCATGTAAAACAAAATTTCTGCCAGCTAATTAAAAATAACAGTAAAACTAAATTGTAGTTAAAGAAAGAAGCCTATTTTGCAATAAATTAGATTAATATACTGCATAATATGTATGGTATAGATTATATAAACTACAATATAATGTATTTTTACAATGAATTTCATAATGAATTTGCCCTAAAATTCAGAATAACATGAAAATCAATTTTTACTAGAAAAAATCTTACATTTCATCTTTTCTTCTAAAGTCCCTCGAAGAAATATTGATAAGCCTTCTACCCATTCTGTTACACTGACACAGGAATCATTGTCTTTGTCAAAAGCACGGAACACTGAACGAAAAATAAAGATTATTCTAAAGTTTTATTTTAGTGTTGGCAATCTAATCCAAAAAGAGATACCCCCAAAAAAACAAGACCCAGAACAAGACAACGGTATCGCACTCCTCCCCTACATCAGAGGCACCACAGACAAAATTAGCAAAATTCTCCACAAACACAATATCAGGACAGACTTTGGCACTGACCAAAAAATAGCCAACATCCTAAGAAACCCCAAAGACAAGATCTAGCTAGAAAACCAAGGAGTTTATGAAATACCATGCAACAATTGCCCAGCCACGTACATTGGACAAACCAACAGGAGAATAAATGCATGCATCGCAGAACACAAAAACGCAGTCAGAAGAGAAGAAAATACTTCCTCCCTCTTCTAGTACCTTAAAGCCACAGGACATGAAATTAATTTCGAAGGAACCAAATTAATATCTAACACTGAACACTCCAGCAAGAGAATAATCAGGGAAGCCATCGAAATAGAGAAACACCCCCATAACATGAATAGATGGGACGATACCTCCCACCTACCAGACATCTGGAAATTAGCCCTCACCAACAAACGAGTCCCAGCCACGAAAACCAACACCAGACCCAAACACGCCAGACACGGGACACCACCACCAATCCCCCTCATCAGACCCAGGCCCAAGCCCATCCTATAAACGAAGGACAACCACCATCCAGAAAACAGACCATGGCTGCTTCACCAGCTGTTGCACCCCCGACCCCAAAACCAAACAAACTGACACATGCCAAGAACACAGACCCAGACCCCAAACTCGAAGCCAGACTAAAACCCAGAATGCTACATCACAGCCACCCGCTCAGGATATCACATCAGAAAACTCAGGAAATTACACCACAAGAACTCAAGAAGTTGCAACACAGCAAATGACCCAGGATATCACAGCACAAGACCAAGGATACCACAGCAATAAGTCTCACAAGGTCATTACACAACCCATTACCCAAGCCATTGCTACACAGCGGGCTAATGGAAAAGAGATCAAAGCACAAACTACTCAGGAGATTACAATGCAGGACCCAGGATACCTCAACAAAAGAACTCGCAAGCCCATCACACAACCCATTACCCAAGCCGTTAAAACACGAGAGGCTAATGGAAAAAAGATCACTACAAAACGAACGACCCAGGAGATTACAAGATCCAGGATATCTCCACAACAAAACTCACAAGGCCATCACACAACCCATTATACCAACATCAACTCCATCAACCAATCAAGAGGCAGCAGCGCAGCCAACCAGCCCAGCACACCAGCCCCCACCACCAGTATTTATAGAGAGACGGCAGCTCCGATTACACACTGCTTGCACTGGCACGAAGCCGAAAGCACCAGCCTGAGGATGGCTAGTGGGACCTCGCCGAAACATCGCCAAGATACACTTAATCTTACACGGGAAAAGACCTGAACACACCTAGACCTACATATATATACATACACACACACACACACACACACACACACACACACACACATATATGATATTCAGCTTTTAAAGTTGTAGCAACGTTTCGGCAGATGAGATTCTGCCGAAATGTTGCTACAACTTTAAAAGCACAACTATAATGACAATAGTACAATATATATATATTTGAAGATTTCCAGATCTTTATTAAAATTACAATTTGCAATTCTAGTTCTGTGTCAATATAAATTGTACTATAGCTACTTTACCAGAGCTATTGCTATTACATATTGCTATTATGTGGGGACATTGAAAAGGCCAAATGATACAGTCACCCAAATACAATGATCAAATATTATCAACAGACCTCAGTGTGCAGGAGAATAAATCCTACTCAAGGCTTATTAATTATGAATGAATCATGTTAAGTACAACTGATATGAATTTGACCTTCCATGTGCTTTTCAGACTTCATGAATGTATTACCCAACAATACAAGAGCACACAATAGATATAAACTTAATGTACACCACTCCAAACTTGACTGCAGAAAGTACAACTTCAGCAACAGTGGTCAATGCCTGGAACACACTACCTGACTGTTGTCATATCCCCAAATCCACACTCCTTTTCTCTCAAACTAACCACTATTGACCTCACCCCTTCCTAAGAGGTCTGTGAGGAGCGTGCATAAGCACACAATCGTGCCTACTGTCCCTGTCCTATTGTCCCCAATTATTCCTACCCATTTCCTGTACTTATACTAATGTTTATTATCTTGTAAGTTATTGACAAATAAATAAATAAAAATAAACATAGAAATGTTTTCAAACTGCAATCTGAAACAGCTTCTCAAAAATGTTTTAAAATACAATAATTTATTGGCATTGATTTAATCTCACCTCTGTCCATAATCATGTCATCTGTCATTCCAAATGTCACATGTAGAATATTGCGAAATGAGTTGCGATCTAAACCAACAACAGCATGACGGTCGCTGGGTTCCACATCCAGGTTGTTGAAAAGTTTTATGAGACATTCCACTTCAAATTTATTAACTACAAAAGGAAACAGTGAAACAAAATCAACAATGAAGACGTGTATTTGTTTTCACCATCGAATGTAAATTTGAATACGTATCTCTCCCCGATACTCTAATGTTGCCGTTCTCGATGACTCCGCTGACAAGGAATTCTGGGAGTTGTAGTTTCAGCATCTCCGGGTGGGAAGCTCGATTCCACTCGAGATAATAACAATATAAAAACAATTGTCACGAATTTCCCGATCGGGTTAATGGACTCAGGAGCAGCTGGGTTTAAAGAAGCACAAGGGAAAACGTAGACCCACTTTCACTCACAATGTTTAGCGGATTTGCACAGGGATTCGGTAAGCTTCTGCAGCTTCTTTCTGTTCATTTTGAGCTTTGTGGCTGCCGCTGCGCCGGATTGTCACAAGCCAAGCTGTTTCCATGGCAACAACAGGGAATGTTGCCGCCGGGCCCGGATGTAACGAGCTGAAAGGCAGCTTTAGGCCGACCGGAAAGTTCAGGCGCGTTTTATTATTTATGTTGGTGAGAAGGCAAAACCCGGCTTTGGTACTCTGAACTGGCTCGTTCCTCTGGTTTTCCATAAGGACGAATGGAATAGAATAGAACTGGAAGGGGCCTTGAGGTCTTCTAGTCCAGCCCCCTGCTCAAACAGGAGTTCCCATACCATTTCAGACAAGTGGCTGTCCAGTCTTCTTAAAAACCTTAAGTGAGGAAGGCAAGCTGTTCCAGTGGTTAATTGTCCTCACTGTTAGGAAGTTTCCAGTATGATTTGATTGTTGAGTGTACTCTATGACTATCATTAAGTGTTGTACCTTATGATTCTTGATTCTTAATGAATGTTATCTTTTCTTTTATGTATACTGAGAGTATTTACACCAAGACAAATTCCCTGTGTGTCCAATCACACTTGGCCAATAAAGAATTCTATTCGTTTCTTCTTAGTTCCAGGTTGCTTCTGTCCTTGATTAGTTTCCATCCATTGTTTCTTGTCCTGCCTATAGGTGCTCTGGTGAATAAGTTGATCCTCTCTTTGTGGCAGCCCCTCAAATACTGAAATACTGCTACCATTTTGCCCCAATTCTTCTTTTCTTTAGAGTAGCCATAACCAATTCCTACAACCACCTGATGGGAGAGGCAGAAAATAGGGAGCTCCAATCCCCCCTGGCTGGATCTTTTGCAGAGTTTTGAAGCAAAGACATTTTCCGAATCAAATTGCAAGCAAACATAAATTGAAGATTTTTAAAAATGGTTAAAGGTCCACCTGTCTGCTAGGAGTATAAATCTTTCCATTCCCCACCATCCAGTCAGAGGTGAAGAAGCTTTTTGGATGAGAAGTGAAATGTCTTCAAACAAAAACCAGAAAATATTTTATTGTCTCTGTTAAATGGAAATCAATCAGTGCAAAAACAATCAAGACCAATTTATTTCCACTGGTTTTTTTTTGTGGGTATTGTAGGAAGTTAGCACCCATCCCTCTCCTAGAAAAATGAAATATCCTAGGAAATATTAAAAAGGCAGAATAATTCCTCTAAAAAGAATAGAAACTCCGAAGCAGAAAGTCACTTCAGAAGCAGAAGCTCACCCCCACCTTTGTTAATGGGTGGGCCATTAAGGTCTGGGCCAGAATATTTCACATAACAAAGATCTCCAGGTAGAGCTATAATAGAAATTCTTCAAAGCCCTTTCATTACATCATCATCCAGCAAGGCTCAACCAAGCCTAGCGCTCAGGACAGCCTACAGAGTTGCCCCTGCATGGCCCCATTGGAGTCTGACAACCAATCAGAATACAAGCTCAAATTCAAATCCCAACAGGGGGCATATAAGGGACTCAGCATCTCAGCCCTCCCTTCTTTTCCTTCACCCAACATCTTTTTTTTTTTTTTTTTGTAAATTTTATTTGAGTTTTCATAAGGAGAAAAAAAAAAAACACATCTTTTTTGAAAGTAGCGTAATCCCGGGTTACATTTCTTCGTACAGACACAGGTTCATGCTCATTTTTATATTCTATTCCATATCTTATAACTATTTTACATTTTCTGCATAGCTTCTCCCCTCTTTTAATTTTCTCAATTTTATTTTAATTATCTCATCTCAATTCAAATCATTGTATTTATATTTTTTGTCTGTCCTGTTTCAATTATCTATTATCTTTTCTCATTAAACAAAATTTCTCCTGTAGTTACTGATTGGAGTATGACACCTTTATATCTTTTAAGTTTATCCATTTAACTCTTATTTAGGCTTCAATATATACCCTAAAGTTATAACATTCAATATAATACATAACTTCCATTTGGATTCTGCTTGGTACATTCTTAAAATACACACTATATTCTTAAAAAAAAGAAAAAATTATAAATGTATGTAATTAAAACAACACATTCCATTCCAATTCAATTCTATCATTAATATTAATATTCATTAAAGTCTTAACTTCTTTAACATTACTTTTCAATTAAATATCATACTTCTATGGGAACAATTATAAGCTTTCCATAATTAATTTGTCCCCCCTCTACACTTATATTTTTTAAAACATTAACTAATTAAAATGTTCCCGTTCCTTCCTAATTCAATTTTCTCATTTATTTTATTTCACTTATTTTATTAACAAACATTTCACTAAATTACACTAACTATTTTATCCCTCATTTTAATCATACATTGTTTCCAATTTTCTAAAGTTATTTCTATTACTAATATAACAATACAATCTTATGTACCTTATGTACCCTTTTTCAGTTAGATTTTCATCCATTATCTCTAAATAGGTCCTGTTTCTCTATATCTTGCTCCGGTCCTTTGTAACTTCTTTTCCTTTCCTTCTTCCCTCTCTTCTTCTCTCTCCCCTTTTTACCCCATTGTCTCTCTACCTCTATTTCTCTCTTCTGTATTCCCTTTTTCTGTTGCTTTCCAGTATTATACTTATTTTTCAAATTATTTTTCTTTTCTTTGGTTGTTTTTTTAAATCTTAAATTTTCCATTCTCTTTCCCCCTTTTCCTTTTTCTTCCCCACATAAAATTACTTGTTCATTAAAGATGGCTTCTTCTTTGTCCCAGTCTTCTTGTTTTGCAGACGTTTCTTGTTGTTTCTCATAGTTCCAAATCTCAATTTCTAAGACTTGAAAAATGAAGCCAAAAGAACCCTTCCCTTCTTGTGCATCTTATTTGTACTTTTTAAGTTCCATTTTCAATTCATCCAGAAGTGGTGCCATTGTATAAATTTTTAAACAACCACCCGATTAATTTTAGTCATTCAAATGTAATAACCAAGAATCCAAAGATCACCAAATAATCCAAATACACACAAGCTGTTTCTTTTTGCTCTTTTTTTTTCACTTTCTCTTCCTGGGGTTACTGTTTAGTTACAAAGTTTCAGTTAAAATGTATCTTTTAGAAGTCTTGTTGAAGTTTTACTGTAGATTCTTTTTAATTCCAGGCAGTCTCCTCCCTCTTCCAGGTCCTGCCCTTATTCTTTTTCTCTCCCTTCCTGCTTATTAAAAAAAATTTTTTTTAGTGTCCAGAAATCTTTATTATCCCTTTGACATTTTGTTTTATTTTCAGCTTAATTGCCTATTGATGTCAGAGCGGATTTTTCTGATTTCTTATTTAAGTCTCTTAGTTGTCAGTATAGGGAAGGAGAGAGAATAAAAAAAAAACCAAACCTTTCCCTTTTCACTTTCCTTCGCTGCTTCCGACTCTTCTTTAGGAGCGATGTTATTTTTTTGTAAGTTTAAATTCCAGGATACCTTAGTTGTTGCTTTTACAATTTAACCCGGTCAGCCAAAACTTTCACTTCTTATCTTCCTCCTGCACATTCTTTTCCAGTCAAGTTCTTCTTTGTGTTGGCCATTACTGACCACCACTGCAACCACCTTCGGGAAAGGGAGTAATGGCCAGCTGAGGAGGAGAGATGCGGCTCTCCTCAACCCTGCTAGCGGTCTCCCCCCTCTTCACCACCTCTATGGGGTGGCTTAGCCCTGAAACCAGCCGGCTCGGGGCGCTCCAGCAGCGAGCCTAGACCAAAACCATGCACGATTACGGATTTCTGTCTGTCACCAAAGAGACTTCAAACCGGACTCCCTTCACCCAACATCTTGAAGCATATGATCATCCTTTTCACTTTGGAGCTCTAAGCCATGTGGTCCTGTCCACCATTAAACCATCTTTCCAAATAGCCTCCATGTTTCCAGTATGTTTTTCCCCACTTGGAACTGAACCCAGAAGGATATTTCTTCCAACAGTATAAACAGAAGCACATGCAGAATTATATTCTTGGTATAACAAACCCGTTCTACCTAGGTGTCCGAATCCACTATATGCACTTCTATTACAGCATTTTTATTAAAGCTGTTATCTAATTAAAGTAGATACTCATGGTGTATTTACACTGAAATTATTTTACAGAAAGAGAAAAAAAATCAAATCACATAAAGCTCAAAAACTGTATTAAAACTTGAATATAAAACTCAAAATCCAACTGAAATGCCGTAGCTGAAGCTGAAGCTAAATCCAATTATATTCAACTTAAGCTCTATATCCACCCATGTTAAATTTAGAAAAATGTAATGTCTTAAAAGTAAAAATGCAGGAATTTGTTTTTTTATGTCCAACATAAATGTCTAAATGGAACAGATACTATGGCACCTTAGCCAACTAAATGAATTTTTTCACTAAAGTGATCTTGAGTTCTATGTACTCTGTACAACTATGTACAACCTGAACAGAGCATTTCAGGACAACAGGGGATTTGAAATTAACCTCTTTGCCACAATCACCAATTGCATCTCTAATTTTACTAATGAAACGAGATTAAGCAGTATCAGCCCAATGACAGAAATGGCAAAAAAGCCCTTCTAAATTAAACAGAAATACTAATATTTAATGCTCTAAGCACATGACTCTGCAAAACTGTAGCCGGGAGATCTTTTTAGGACTGTACTCTACATTCTGGCAAATGAAATGTACATTTAAAGCATTATCTTTTGTGCCTTAGACCACTTTCTGAAACAATTTTTAAAATTATGTTTGCACTTCTTGTTTGTATGCTGTCAAATTATGTTGGGCTTTGTGTATTTAAAAGCCCCAGTTAACATTTCAGTATTCCTCTGAGCTATATTAAGAATTTGTTATTACTAATTAGATTTTTCCTCACAGTCATCTCAAAAACAGAAGCGTTATTATGAAATGAAAAATGGACACCATAATTTTACTGTTTGGCAAAATAAAACAAAGTTATACAAATAGAAAAGGAGTATGGAGGGGCTAGCAGAGTAACTAAAAGACATTCTCCAACTTTCCAAGAAGGTGTCTCTGCCAGAGAATTAATGAGCCCCATGTCATGCCCCTTTTGAAACATGGCTAAGGACCAGAAAAACCAGTGGACCATACCATACTCATCATTCCCCTTAAAAAAATTTTTTACCTGAAACAT